GTTTTGCATTCTTTTCCTATTGCTTCGGCTAGGGATTTCACCACAAGAAGGGGGACAGTGTTACGCAGTGTTGTATTTCCTTCGCTATGCAAAAACGTGGAAACGGGGGAAGTGGTTTAGGTCGGTTTGATGGTTGAATTGAGATGGAACTTCGGCGTGACCTCTTTTTAGAGGTCGATCAGGGAATGAAGAGAACGCTTCCGCCATAAGATATTTGGAAATTTCGGCAACAGCGCCAACCACCCACCACGGAGCCCTACAATGGGACGCGGCAGAGCTTCATAAAAGAATCTGCACGACGCCAGTCGTACGCCGCCGCTATAACCTAATATGGTATACCAAGGTTGGAACCACACACGGTTAACCCTTGCCGCCAGGAAAATCAGAAGTGACTAGAAGCTATGAGAAGACAGGAAAGATGTGAAGTGAGAGGGAAAGACGAAGGTGTAGGTAGAGAGAGAGATAGGAAAAGGCGACTGCCGATTTCCCTGGGTGGGTCAGTCCATGGGTGCCGTCTACGTGAAGCCAGGGCCAAAGGGGTGTGTTGCTTCTGCCGGGGGCCCTTAAAGGTCCAATCACCCGGCGTCGGCTCAACCCCCAGGATCCCCTTTTCCCCAGACATGGCTCAGCCACGCACGGCTAGGCGTGGGAGGGAGTCGAAACTCCCTCGTTAGCTCGGGTCCGTGGTGACGCTACGCGCCAAACGCCTGCTTTCACAGACGCCCCTGCGGGGCCTCTCTCTAAGTGATTTATGTATAGAAAATGAATAGAAAAGTGCCGCCCGTAACTTTCTGTCACTTGGATGACACTTCAACAGGTCGGCACAAGGGGACGAGCTTCCAGCGTGGTGGACAAGCTTCCAGCGTGGTGGTTTCGAGGCACGTTCCCAGCCCCTCCTGTGTTAACCGTGGAAACACGGAAACTCTGAATCATCGATCTCCTGCCCCACTGTCCTGCTTTCAACGGGGCAAGAAGCAATCTCCTGGTAGTCTATGCCAAACTTGGCCTCCCAAGGACAACATCCGAGCATCTGCTGTTCAATCGCTGCTGGTGCAATGACGTTAAGCATGTATTGTCGGCACTGCTCGACTTTATCGACGTGGCGAGGCTCTGAGAGCGCTTTTAATTCTTTTTCTCTCTTTCTTTTGGGGCCGAAGCTCCTTATACCCTGGATCACATGCCCCGAGTCATCGTAGTCGGGGTGGCCAGTTGCATATATATGAAGTGGTTATAACAGAAGAGAAGAAAAGAAAGGTGCCGACCCGTAACTGTCTCTCCTTACGAGGACACCTCAACAGGTCAGCAGAGGAATGGGATATGGGGAATAAAAGATATAGGGAAAAAGAAGGAGGGATAAAAAGAATAGAAGGAAAATAGACGGAGAAGAAGCCAGCCAACGAGAGAGAAAAAGAAGGAGATAGGAAAGTGGGGATCCGGTCGAAGCAGTCCAAGGGCGGGGTGCCACAATGCGAGAGCTGCACGGCTTCAGGAGACCGCGGAGGGCGAACCAGTCGGCGGGAGCTACGCTGAAGTCGGAGATCGCGAGGGCACAACCGTCCAGCTTGAAATCCTGCGAGCGAATGACCAGTTGCATTGCATGTCAATGAAAACGGTGTCACAGAATATCCACGGAGTGAATGATGATGAGTGTGTCAAAGCGTCTGTCAGTGCGTCCGTTCATCTGTTCATCCTTGCATCCATTCCTCCGTCCGTCCGCTTCGCCCCACTCGTCATCATTCACCTCGTGGATATGCTGTGATTTTTTTAATCAGCCCTCCTACACCTCTCTTCACTCTATTCTTTTACTCCCGGTCCCTTCTCCCAGTGCACCAATGCTGAGGTGACCTCCTTAGTGTGAGACAGTTGCGGGACGCACAATCAAATGTCTTCCTTTTCCCAAACAAAAAACTACTTTTTCACAGCGAAGGAATTTCCCGCCGCGCACGATATGATATTTATACGCGCGATGAAACTGTCACGCGTGCTTTCTTAAAGAGACTCACCTTTCCTTTAATGAAAAATCTCTAAATCTCTCTTCCAAGCTGGAGAATGATCTAATCTAAATAATATTGTAACGCACAGTTCAATGAACACTTTTAATAGACTAACGTAGACAGGGCGAACTTGTGCCTGAGAAATAACACAGCTAGAACGGAATCTCCTATAGCAGTCCCGAGGATTCGCTTCTGCTTCTTTCTCCACGTTCTTTTTTTTTTTTTTTTTAACACGGGTCGCGTTCAACTGGACCCCGCAGATTCGTGCGCCGCAAACCACCCGGAGGGCATAAGGCCCAAACAACGAAACGTTCCTTTCCTTTGACCGCGTCCTCTCCTTACGTGAGGCTTCCTTACAACCAAGTACCGACGGAGGAAGCAAGCGTACTCTGAAAGCTCCCTTAACCCGTCCTCGCGGGAGGAATGGTTGCCGCGCTCCTGCGTTCGAGATTATCGAATATTAGCTTTGCTCACAAGCGTTTATTCTGTAAAAAAAAGTTGGGTCACCACATCACTTCCATATTGAACTGTTAATATAGAGACGCGTGTACGCTTTCTTCCAACTACGATTACTGAATGTGAAAAGCCACCGTAGTCGAGCGCAAAACGTGGTGCATTCTAGCAACACTGCGCGCCGTCGTGCCTGGCACCGTGCACGCACGCTCGCCGCTCGCGTCTCCCCGCAGGGGGTGGGTGGGAGGGTTGCCTCGAAAACGAAAACATCACGTGGGCTAGCTGTGAGGCGAAAGGGCGCACGAAGGTAGCCCCAAAGCAACCTTAAGCTGAGGAAGCGCCAAGGAAGCCTTCACCGAGGGCTCCTTAGTGAGGAAGCTTTCAGAGTGACATAAGGCGGCCTCACAAAAATGAAGGCTTCCTTACTGAGGAAAGGAACGTTTCGTTGTTTGGCCCTAAGTATCGACTACCGCGAGTAACTTGAAGTCACACTGCGTCAATATTCAACACTGGTTTAGGCAAATGTCAGCGGGAATGTCTTCGCCAGAGCTGCTTATAACTGGTATGTGTGCTCTAATCCACCCACCCGTCCGTCCATCCATACACCCACCCATCCACCCACCCACCAGTCCATCCATCCGTCCGCCCGCCCGCCCGCCCATTCATTTATTGCTGAACACACAGCTTTCATGCTATAGCGTGAATTTGAAGCACACCAGGGAGGAACTGTTCTGGCCGTACTAGTATAATAAAACATTATTTTTTGTGCCTTCTGAAGTGTACACGATACACCACGCGTAACTATCGCGCAACTATCAGGCACCATTGGAAACCCCCGGGTACTTACCATTTCTATCCCAACGACGATTTAGTTGTTGAAATTCCACTGCGTTCATTACGGACGGTAAAGAAAGTTCTTCTAACATTATTTTCCCCCTAAATATAACCTCTATAATGAATTTTGAGGCCGGTAACTGGTGAATAACTGGGCCATTTAATGATGACTTAGCTAACGCATCCACCATTTCATCGAGAAAACGTCCCTTATTTTCTGATACCCAAACAAATTTAACCAAGTGTTTTATGCGATAGAAGTAATGATTTGAAAGCACTCGGCACTTGTGAGTTCTCATTTGCAGGAGAGAAGAAGGCACTGATAGTGAATCAATCAAAATTATGACCGAACTAGTTGATGCTGTTAATTTGCGGAGAGCTAAAATTATCTCAAAATATTGTGCTACAAAAATGAATACAAAATCTGGAAGGCGTGGAGGAAATGGCCAATCTAGAGCAATTGATTAATATGTGGGGTTTAAAGTCCCCAAACCACCATATGGTTATGAAAGACGCCATAGTGTAGGACTCCGGAAATTTCGACCACCTGGAGTTTTTTCACGTGCGACCAGTCTATAGTAGGACGGAATATTCCGATTCCAAATTTTTATTTATTTTGCGAAGCGTCCATCGCAATGACTGAGCTAAGAGCTCGTCTTCTCTCTCTCTCTCTCTCTCTCTCTATTCAGAGAGAGAAAAAAAGACGAGCTCTCAGCTCAGTCATATAAAGTATGCTTCGTTCATATCGATCACTTCAATTGCATACCAGGAAATAGACCTGAGGGAAATGAAGGAGATAACAGGTATAGAATGCCGTCTTCTGTTTCAGTTGGAACCAGCTTGATCGCTTCTGGATCGGTCAAAACCCGCTCCTCGGAAACTGCAGAGGAAGCGGCAATAGCGCTAGCTATAACTAATTCGCAGTCAGATTTGATTTTCAGTGATTCAAAGACAGCCATCCGAAATCTGGCGAGGGGCAGAATATCGGCGACCGCTGCACGATTTCTGCATAGGGCCACGGGACGAGAAATGAGAGAAATAGAAATTGTCTGGGTACCAGCACACTCTGGGAACCCTGGGAACGAGGCGGCTCACCTGAATGCTCGAGGTTTCGTCAGCCGGGTAGGTGAGCCGCCAGTTCCGGGGAGGTCCGCGAGAGATGGGCTGGTGTCCTTTCATGACATAACGAATCATTATAAACTAGAGCGGAGGTTTTATCCGCCCCCGCACAAGCGGTTGACTAAGGCGCAGGAATGCGTCTGGAGAAAACTGCAGACGCGATCTTTTCCCAACCCTTACGTGTTGAACAAATTGTACCCGGACCAGATTAAGCCGCAATGCAAATGGTGTCAGGCTGTGGCAACATATGATCACATACTTTGGGAATGTAGCATAGTGCCGCCGCCGGTGGATATTATGCGTGATCCCTCTCTTGAGCACTGGGAGGCCGTGTTGACCAGCTCAGACCCAGTCGTCCAGTTAAGGGTCGTGGAGTGGGGCACACAGGTCGCCGCCAACCTTGGGTTGATGGCCATCTAACACGGAATCATCCTCAGTTGCTTTCTGACGAAATAAAGTTTTACCATCCATCCATCCATTTGGGACGCTATTTGTAATATGATACGTTCACGCAGCGCTCACAGTGACCCTCTGTTCTTATCACCCTCCTTGGTCGTAGATGAATTCTAGGAGAGAAAACCTGAGATTTGGCTAGTTTGCTGTCCTTTTCTTCTCCTTCACCCTCTTTCTCACATGCATAGGGCCTTTAATGAACACAGTATTGTTGGTCATCCTGGACACAAGCAAGAAGGAGGTTTCAGGTACACGCAATTAAGTCACCCATCAAAAGAACACTCGATCGTCTCCATTGATGACTAAGTGAGCATTGTTCCACGGCACATGGACGGTGTTTGGCTTGCTTGAAAGACAGCCAATCAGCTGCCTGTTCTCGGTGCTTTTCTCTCTTGACTTGCACGGGAACTGGCGCCGATGGCAAGACTGTGGCCCGACAGAGCTTGCCCAGCAGTTCCACTTGCACCTCGCTTCCGGGAATGGCGAGGTACATTGGGAGATAGGCCATCGCCAGGCTCTGCCCAGTCTGGACTCCGTAAGATCCGGAAGTTGTGTACCCGACCACCTGGAGCGGAGGTATACGAAACGGCTGGTTAGGCACGTCATATGCAGGTGGAAAAAAATAATAAAGGCAGCTTTGCACTATAGTGGCGACAAGCCTGAGCAAAGTGCGGAGATGATGATGATGATGCGGAGCTGGGCAAGCTTCTTCGTTTCTCTCCGGTTCTCTCTTTATTTTCCTCTCCTTTTCTTACTTTTAAATATGTCCGTTTTTTCTGTATTTTTATCTTTTTCTATTTATTCCCTTTTCTCCATCTATTTGTTTCTCGCTTGCTTCATTTAAATTGTCTTTTTTTGATACAGTGTGCTCAAAGAACAAGAGGAAGACTTCTGCCAATAATGCCTTCCCCGCCTATTCTCAAACTGCGGCTGCAGAGACATCCTCTTCTATGAAATAAAGGTTCGGTTTATTTATTCATTCATTCATTGCCGCATGTGGCTATGCTATATTGAGGTTTTGCCTGTGTTACGTGAAGCGACGATGACAGCATACGGTGACCAGGCCCGCTAAAGTTCTCCGCACATTAAGATTTCGAATATTGTATATGGGTCGCGAGATGAGACTTTTCGAAAAGACGGGCGGGGTATTAAAAACCAGTTTTTGGCACTAAAAGAGGTATTGAAACCAATTTTGTAGGAGTTTGCTCTGCGATCACTAGTGTATCCAATTTTTTTTTTTTTTGAAATTCGGGTGTTGGGGGATGGGAAATACTTTATTCGGGCATTTACGTTCATGCATGCACACATGCACAACGAAAACTTTCTACTGTGGGGGGAGGGGTCTTGAATTTTTTTTGCCCTCCTGGTTGTACCAATGTCTGCCATACGAATCCTTTCTATCAGGGAAGCCCCAAAGCAAGTGTGAAGCTGCGTTGATGCTGATAATAAAATATATATTTTGGCATTAAAGTAAATTATCGCGTGGTGCATACTGAGATCGACACAATCATGACTGCAGACGGTTGTGTCACTTTTGGTGACTTCCCGCACCAGTATGGCTAGTTGCGAAGGCATCAGGTAGCAAAAAGTTTAGGATGGCCAATTGCGCATTACAATCAGTGCCACGGAGTGGAGCAGCCGTGCACAAGTCACGATCATGCTAAAACACGTGATCAGAAGCTTATATTATGTTGTGACGTCATTGTACAGAAGGGACCGAAACTAGCTTTAAAAATGTCACAGTTTCACCGCAACGGTGAAGCGATAAATGTGATAGCAAAAAAAAAAAAAGGAAATGTTATACGAAGTGAAGCTGGCAGCTAACTCTTTTGGATCCGGCCTCACACAACTCTACCAAACGCTAGTGTGAGAGAATACAGCCGCTCCAGGGATACTTTGCGCACAGCTGATCGCGTTGTGAGTGGTGCAGCACGTAAAAGGGCAGACGAGGCCGTCCAGTGATGGCTGCCGAGTACCAGTGATGGCAACCGCACCCAATTAATGTTCACAGATTGCTCAAATTACAGACTTCGATCATCACGCTGCAGACTTCTTTTTGCGATGCAGTTACCTTGTCTGAGCACCAGACGGATTCGTTGCCTTCTGGGTCAACGTCGGTGGCGTCTACGGTTAGGTGAACCAGTTTCCGCGACAGTCCTTCGCGCAGGATTTCTTGAAGAGCTGTCTTTCCTACAAAGTCTGCAGGCTTTTTCATCCTGACAAACGGTCCAAGACCGGCTTCAAATGGGTTGGTGTCGACGGTCATCTATGAAAATGTAAAAGTTAAAAAAAAATCATACCACGTAGGTGCGTAAAAAGGAACAATTCATGCGATATAACCGCAGCAAAATGGTCATAACGGTAAAATGAAATGAAGAGTTCGATAATGACTCGTCTCGTCTGGAATGCTCGTAGTCAAAAGTAAAATAAACTTCATAATAAATGACGTTCCGTCTAAAGTTCTTCTCGCATTTGATTGGTGTATTTCTTTTTACCTTTGGTCAAAGCGATAGCTGTTGTAGTTTTCGGAAGTTAATAATTATACAGCTGCATGCAGACACCTCAAACCTAGATCAGATGGGTGCTCCATTTTAGAAGCATTCGTTGTTTGGTCGATGGAAGACGCATACATGCTCGAAAATAAGTCCCGTAGAGTAAAATAAATAATAAATAAAGAAAATTATGGTAAGCATCTGTTTACTTACGTCAGCGCCCCAAAGCCTAAAGCCTTTCTCGATGCGCAGGCTATTTAAAGCGTAGGTCCCGAAATCTGTTATGTCGTACGGCTCGCCGAATCGGAGCAGTTGGTTGTACAGGGCCGAGGTGTGCTTTCGGTCGTGATAGAGTTCCCATCCGAGCTCACCTAGAGTGCACAAAAGGAAAACAAAGTCGTAAAGCCAGTTTGTAACAATCTTGAAGCTGATAAGTTTGAACCCGTAATGTTCGTCTCTTTGACAGGTAGGTCTGAACGTATACAGATAGTGTAACGCGATGGGTTGGCACCACACTTATCGAACTTCTTTCAAACCTCGTGTGGTTGAAATTTCAAAAGTCATTTGCTACGCCGTCTCCCCTAATGATGTCGTGGTTTTGGGACGCTCAACAATCGATATTCTTTTCTTCAATAAACGCTCTGTCTCCTTCAAGAACAAGAGAGCTTCTGAAATTTATAATCCCAGCGGGATTCTTTAACGTGCACCAAAGTCAAAACTCACGGGCCTCTCGTACTTTGCCTCTCCATTTGATTGCGGCCGCCGCAGCCGGGATTTGATCCTACGACCTGCATGCGGTTTACCACTAGCACGGCCGGTGTTCTTCATCGAGCGGCCGTGCCACTAGAATCCCGGCAACTGCGACCTCATTGCCATGGAAACAAACTGCTAAAGGTCCGTGTGCTTAGATATATTTGGGTGCACATCAAAAAACAGTCACCGAAATTTCAGAAGTTTTCCACCACGGCGTCTGTCCGAATGGCATTGCGGTTTCGGGACGTAAAACAACAATTATTATTATAGGCCATCGCGGGAACTTGAGGACAAGTGCGGCCGTTAATTTCAATGCACAGGGAGTGCAAGGCAATGTACACTAATCCCAACACTACGTCGGTCAGGTGGGAGGCGGCCCTATACGCAGCTCCCTCCTGGCCGACCAACTTTGGGCCGTCCAGCAGGCCCGTGGAGCGGCCGATAGGCTTGGCCTAATGGTCCCAACGTGGGAGTCGCCCGCTGCGCGCGCCTTGCAGGACCTCAATAAAGTTTCGCAACCAACCAACCAACCTGAGTTCCAAGGCGCATTAGACCATGCATTATCACTGAAATGAAAAAAAAAATGGGTGAAATTTATTCGAAGTGAAATAAAGTGGTCCTCGTTGCATTTCGCGGCATAGAAATGCATACGAAGCACACAGCGGGCTACAAGGACACAACAGTCTCGTATGCGTACCACAACAATCAATTACATGCTTCGCAGCCGAACAAGCATGCTACGCAGAGCAGCTTTCACGTAAAGCTCGACCTAAAGGAGAACTAATTAATGTAGGATGTAACGCGTTACAAGAGGCGCCGTTACTGGTAACTTAGTTGCAAAATTCTTGCTATTTTGGAATGGTAACGGGTGACCCACTAACGCTAACGTTTTTCGGTAACGTGCGGTGTCACGTTACTAGTAAAAAAGATGTACGGCTGTGTCGATATTCTGAATTTGAAGGCACAGGTGTAAAAAAATTAAAGAGATAGCATCCCTTGTCTGATTAAAGAGATATCATCCCTTTTCGCCGGTATCACACACACTGTTTCTCTTCTTTGCACGTGCTGTTCCATGTATTAGTAAAGTAAAAAAAAAGGAAATGTTACCATATAACTCTTTTCGCTGATGTATGCACCACCGCATCTTTGTATTTATGCTGTTAAGCTTCTATGTATTAGAGGATAAGTGGTTCAAGGACCGAATTCGCAAGCTTTTTCTTCGTAAATGCTCTTCGCTATTCGAGACCGGGCTTCGCTAATAATATGGGCAGCATCAAGCAATTATTGGTTGAGTTTCTATCTTACGAACACTTATAATTTAATATTTTTGTCAAGATATAACTTTAATACAGTTTTTTTAGGAGTTCATGCGTAAGTTACGAACAATGCTCACTCTCGTGGCGAAACGTGAATGACATTTAGACGCAGAGAACCCTAGTCACATTACCTAACGCTTCAAAAGTTGTATTCGCAAAAAAAAAAAAAAACAATCTTACTAGAATTATTATTAAGATTTTTTGTAGTATATTACTAGCAAAATCGGTTTGCTGAAGGCACAAAGCTACTAACGTACGAACATACTTGTGCATTCGACCCCAGACGCTACTCGGCTTGAAGAGAGGCTTAATAAGGGCTTACCGGTGTAGGATACCCGCAAGGCGGTCACGGGTATGCCGGAAATGCTGATCTGCCTTGCATGCAGGAAAGGAAATTTGTCGTCACTCAGAGGCGCATCCGTGAGTGACGCCAGGACGTTGGCCGAATGCGGACCCGCTATGCCGAGCGCTGCTACGCTCTCGGTGACGTTGCCAATGTGGACGTCATCCATCTTCCAGAGCCTAGTGTGTTCCTCCATCCACCTGCACCAGGAAAGTTGGTGAGCATTTTGGTTAGAAACCTTGGTATCGCGTTTATTAATGGTGCTGATAATTCCTGACAGTCTCAGGTGTAGTTTAATTAAACTTTCATCGCAAAATAAAGTTGTTTTGTAGTTGTAGTGCTGGGTAGCGGTAACATCGAGAAAGACGGCTTTCGCGAGGAGGAGGAAAACGACCCGGCTCGTATGGCTCCGCGAGATCTTCTTGCTCACCAGCGATGCACGCGGCAGAAATATGGCGCCCCCCACAAATCTCTTAAAAGGGGAAAACGCCAAAGACCACCGTAAAATTCAAACGGGAGTTTATGCAAATTTGTTACGACTGCACAAAATTCATCCAACTTTGTATGGGCGTGATTGTCCTGGGTGTCGCGACTCGCCACCGACCCTTTACCATATCTCGTGGAGTTGTGCTAAACGGCCAAATGAAGTCGATCGCTTACAGCGTATGTATAGAATGGAAAACTCTTTGGAGCAGTGGGAGGCGCTCCTCGCTAGCTCGGACCCGGAGGTGCAACTAGCACTCCTGGACCACGTCCGGCTGGTGGCGCAAGCCAGTGGAGCCTTGGACATGGGGCCCCACCCATCTAGCTCCTAAACCCCTTCTTTTTCAACCCAATAAAGTTATTTCTCTCTCTCTCTCTCTCTCTCTCTCTCTCTCTCTGTTGTGGTTGTCGGTGTGGTATTATTTAAAGCTGGGTGTTGAATTATTCTGTGTGATTTCACTTAAGCTCACCTAATGAATGCGACGAATATTTATCAGAAATGCATCTGCGGGATGTCGACATCAATTTCATGAGATTTTATCCGTTTCTTTACGTTATAGTATGGCTGCGCTTGTAATCAGCAGAAATGTATCTGTGGGATGACATCGAATTCGTGAGATTTCATCCGTTTCTTTACGTTATAGTATGGCTGCGCTTGTAATCAGCAGCCAATTACATATGCTATGGCGTTACTATAAATTACCATACATACTGGTTCAATGGTGGTATTTTCGGTCACGCTTTAGATATTGTTAAGCATATTCTTACGTTCGTCCCACATTGCCGATTAACAAAAACGTAATGGGTACTAGTTCCACGCAAATTCACACCTGTGGACAGGACGTGCGCTCATAAAATTAGCGGCTATGGGCCATGAAAAAAAATCAACGCCAGGTGCACTAATATATTATTTTTGGTTTAACGTTCGAAAAGCGTGATATGATTATGAGGGACGCTGCATTGGAGGGGGGGGGGGGGGGGCTCTGGAAATTTCGATCACCTGCATGGGGTTCTTTAATGTGCCCCTAAATATAAGTATACACCATCTGCAAAATAAATCGGGACGCGCGAGCGGCGACGGCAATCTGATAAAACTGCATCGCTGCACCATCTGACGTGGTGAGTGCGCATGCCCGCCTTTTCATCCACATCCCTTTACTTGCTTGCAGTGGACTTAATGTAGCGTTTTGCGTGCTAGGTGTCCCTTTCTTCGATCCGTGATGCGATCAATTAGACGGGGACCTGGTGGTGTTGAAGTGTATGCCCTGATTAAAGAGATAGCAGCCCTTGTCTCAGTGGTGAACTGGTGCCACACACACTACTACTCTTCTTTACAAGTGCCACGAGGAAAAAAAAAAACGTGAGCGTAACATTGAACATCTCCTTGTCACGCAGAATGTGTTGGTTCAATCCCCACAGAAACTGATAACGCTTTATTTATTTATTTATTTATTTATTTATTTATTTATTTATTTATTTATTTATTTATTTATTTATTTATTTATTTATTTATTTATTTAGATCTACTGCGTGCTCTTGCTAGCGGGCAACGCTGATTTTTTGACCTCTATACAAACGATGCTTACGTAGACACCAACAGCGGAATTTCTGCGAAAGGAGCTTTAGACACGAGCGCGTTACACGCTGCTCGTGTTTAAACGCAGCGAGTGTACGAAATGTACGCAGCGAGCCGCGTACATTTCTACCCGCTACCGTGTCTCGCTGAATTGTGCGCGTCCCGGATGCATGGATGGATGCTATGAGCGTCCCCTTTACAACGGGGCAATGACATGTGTGCCACCAGGCTCACAAGAAAGAATGAAAAGGAAACTTTTTTATGTTGGCCTAATGTCTTATCTACTTCGATTAAATCGATCTTTTTATAACAAAAAATAAATTCATGTTCCATCTCTGCCTCTTCAGGCATGCAGAGTGACCTCATTTCCCCACTATTTCTGACCTTTATCTCCATATTTTCCGCCACCAATACTCTAACATTCTCTTACTTGCTTCTATCGCGGACGTGTTCAGCTTCCCATGTTCGTGCCTAAAACCCAAAGCCTCATGTAGGCTAGCACCCACACATATATCGGTCTGGATATCACCATGGAATGAAGAAAAGAAAACGATGCCTACAGCGCGAAACTCTACATCTAATCACCTAGTCCGCTGCAAGCGAGTAAAAAGACATGGATCCGAAAATGAAGAGAATGCGAATGAGCACTCACCACGTCAGATGGCGCGGTGATGCAGTTTTATCAGACTGCGATTATCGCTCGTGCGCTCCGACTTAATTTGCAGACGGGTGTATACACGGGCCTTAAACAGTTTCGCCTCCATCGAAAATACGGCCGCTGCGGCCGTGATTCGATTCCGTGAGGTGCGGTTCAGCAGTACGGCCCCATAACCAATAATAGACCACCGCGGCCTGGCAGTGAAGACAACGATTAATATATATAAGTAAATTTCAAGTGATCGTGAGCAGTCTTGCCTAAGGTCGTGAAGCTCCGAGCCGGATCCCGTGATGATGAGGTAGCGATTTTCCCCCAGTCTGGTCACCGTCACCTCGGCGTAGACTCTACCTCTGGGCGTCAGCATGTGCGAGATGTTGATGGAGTTCACCTGCGTGCCATCGCAATACGAGCACCTTTGTCGAAGGGGAGAAATCACTCAACGCATCAGCTCAATTCAGATCACTGAGACAGGCCGGCTTTCGTCCTTTCAAAATACTCGATAGCTGCTTCATGCTTACGGACGAATACTCGCATGCGTATATACGGGAATTGTAGGGCATTCGATTTAGATTCAGGTTTTAGATGCAGTTATGTTGTTAACACGTTGTATGTGGTATACTGATATTATAGACAGACGCAAATTTCGCCGATGAGGGTATTATTCGCAAAACTAGCCTATCGGCGAATTTCCGCATCAATGGAGTGCGTATACGGAACAGAAACATTGCATTAAAACTAGAAGCTTTGAGTAAACTTCTATCAGAATACATGCTTAGTTTTGCCTTTGTAATATGTGCGCCAAGAAGCACCCACACGCACGTGCAACACATCTGTAGCTTCTATCGATCAGTTTTATGCCTTATACATCACCCCGTACCGAAGTTTTCTCTGAAAAAATAAAATAAATACACAGTTTGCTTCGCATTATGTCTTTTATGCTCACTCTAAAGTATTTAAACAATTTTCGCCCGTGGAAGTGTCGAACCCTGATTTCACTGCATATGTCACGCTACGCAGTATCACGGCTCACTTATAATAACTACAAATTGTTTATTTTTTTGTTGGCCGTAACTGCACTTGAAGCTTTAAGGCCTGACCACATGCGCTCTTTGGTTGCAGCGCGTCAGCGCGCTGCTTTTTGACGCGCCGCCGTCCCCTCTCTCAATTGAGAGAGAGAAGGCACGCGGCTAGACCAATCTGGCAGCGCGTCCTCTCCATGCGGAAAGGGTGCGGCGTCGCGTCAGAAAGACACGCGCCGACGCACTGCAAAGGGTGCGTGTGGCCAGGTGTCTTGCCGGAGATGCGCCCACTTACAGCCGGAAGTTTATTTGCCAGAAGCTTGTCGAGGAATCGGCTGGCTCCCTTGCCGGTCACTTCGAGCTTGGCAAACGGCGTCAGGTCGATGACCCCGACATTGTCGAGGACGCTGCGACATTCACGCTTCATCGGCTCGAACCAGTTGCTGCGCCGGAAACTGGGCTGGTATCCGGCGACGTCACTAGGCTTAGAGAACCACGCCGGCTGTTCCCAACCTTGGAATATGGAAGAAGCACGTGCAGCAACGTGAATAGAAAAAATTCAAACACAATGAATCGTACGCAGCGGCCTAAATCGGCGATCTGTGCGCGCTACAGAACTAACGCCGCGGACAAATGTTCTTACGATATATTCGAAGACATACACACTGAAGCTACGCCGCACATTGCTTCGTCGGAGAACAGCTTAAGCTCAACTGGAGTTCAATTGAATTAGGCATGCTTTCAGTTTCTTCATCTTATTTTTAGCCGAATATGAATATATGAAAAATTAGATGCTTAAAAGGAAAATTATCATTCCGGCTTGGGCGCTAGTTCATATACTGTAGAGTAAAGAGCACGGCATGGAGCTGCTGGAATACGGCGACTGGTGTTACGAAGTGCGCCTACGACGACGTTACGAAGGGTGCCACGAATCTCACTGCTGCCACCACTGTTACAAAAGACGGCGACGCCAACACGGTCCCGAAGGCGCCACTGCTTCGGACTTCACCGGGAAGGTCGCCAGCCGTTTGGTAGCGTAGGTTTCTCTGCTCGCGACTGCTTCTGCGCAGAGCTGATAGACGAGCAGATGAGACGACGGTGAGTTAAACAAGGTTTATGTACAGCATATATACAGAGGCGTTACAAATTCGGCACTGGGGCCGACAGCTTAGAGACTCGAAGAGCCGAGCTCTCTTCTCTGACACATAGGTCTACTGCTCGCGACGCGCCACAGGGCTTTTTTTATATGCACCGGGTGGATTCTTTGAGTAACCAAATGTCTAACCAGAAGCGCCGCTGGTCGTGAGGTCAGAATCCTCCAATGGGGTCGCCGCTGGGCGACCCCATTCTCATCGAATCTTTCTCATCGAATCTGGAGCCGCTGCGCTGCACGTGGCTGCACCCAAGGACGAGTGACGTCACCACGCATTGCGTCAGATTCGCCAGACAAGAAGGCGCCGATTGCCTCCACGGGCTCGCTGGCTGAGGTGACTCACTGTGCATGCGCGACAGACAGGCGCCGCCGCGTGATGACGCCATTGAGTTGTTCGCGTCAGGCGGGCTCGCGTGCTGGCCTTGACACAGATTGCCTTTTTCAGAGGCATGGACGTTCGCTGTGGACTCGCAGGCATAACACTGGCCAAGACAATTTCTTTCTTCGCAACGTTGGCTCCGGGCTAAGTTTCTTTTTGCGCGGCAGCTGTTGATCACGAACATCCCTACTCCTTGCTTTCGTCCTCTTTGAAGCTATAAGTGAAAATTTCATCTCAGCTACATCTAAACTTATATGTTTAGGTATCTGCACATCCCCTTTTAAACTATATCAACAACAATGACATTATCTTAAGCATGTTGCGTTGTCCCATGTATAACACCACCGATTCTCGTTACGGCTACTAAAACGGCATAACCAAACGTTTCCAAGCAACCCCCTAGTTTTTCTGAAGACGTTTATTGTTCACGGATCGACTGCCGGAAAAATGATTATAATCTTTCAAGTACGAGCGGAGTTTATTTATTTATTTATGATACCTTACAAGCTCAATGAGAGCATTGAGTAAGGGGGGTACAAACTTCAAAGAGTAATAGGGCGGTCATCAATAATATGGAATACACAGAAAATAATACAGCATCGTGGCAAAGCGTGTCTAGTCACTGACACTCAAACAAATGTAATACGCGAATGTTTACCGATATGCAGAAAGCTTGAATAACAAGAAATTCAAGGTACATAAACGAAACACAATAAAGAAATTCGGAAGGCGTAGGTATAGAATTCAAGTGAGCAGCAACGGCGGTGCAACTGAGCAACAAAAACTGGGAGAATAACAAGAACTGGGAGAACAATGGCAATAACAAAAAAATCAAAGAGAAATCGGAAGGCCGAGGTGTACAACATACACACGCATTTTCCAAACACACATACTGCTAGCCGTACGAAGGCGTTTACCAATATAAATTGCAAGACAACGGTGGGTACAGCAAAAACTAAAGAGAACCAAAGAGAAGTGTGAAACTAGGTGAGTTATCGTTTGATCTGAGTTAGAAGAGAGATTTGTCGCACGCTGAAATTGCTTTCTCTTTTCTCTCATCCAGACGAGTGTGTAGGAAGCTAAGCAGGGAAGGATGACACTGCGGAAAAAAGTTACGTCACGCGCACTTCGAGACCTTTTACAATATCTCTCTAATTTTTTTTCTTCTTCGAGCGCACTGCTTATTTTGCGATCCGAAGCGAGCGAGCGCTTGTACACGTCTCGCAATGCAGCGGTGGCTGGTGTGACAATGCAGCTCGCGATGCACAAATAAGCCAATGGCCATGGACCATTTGTCGATAGGAGTGATTCTAGCTGAATTAATTACTTAAAGTTTCTTGTAAATACACTAGAAGGAACTCTGGCGCTAGTGTCTACGGGAGCTGCAACGCATGACGCTTCAGCCAGCATGGGAATCATAGGCAGTATGCGCATTTGTCTAAACTTCGTTCTTTCAGCTTCATTTGGATTCACGTTAGTTGGAGCCGCTTTGTTCCAAGACGAAAATGAGCAAATGAAATGTTCAGCATTTCGACTTCACCACCCTAACATTTTAGGCTCACCAATTCAAATTGGTTCACAAAGTTCACAAGGATTCATTTTTTTTTTACCCAAAACAAACGATGAAACACTAGAATAAACGAAGCCACAGGCACAAGCTCGATGCTTAGGCATAGTCATGTACTACCCATCATTTTCAAGATGGCAGAACAATCGCAGCGCCAGAGTTCTCTCTAGTTGATATTGGAAAACTCTATGCTGCCTATATGTTTCGCTCCCATGTTCCGAGGATTCTTGACCGCCGATAGGCAGCGTTTTCTGATCATGTTCTACAAGTGTGGCGGGGCCGCTTTAGGAAGATTCTCTGCGCACTCAGTGATAGAGACTAAAGCATAGTCTCTATCACTGAGACTGTTACGGCCACCAGCTTATCTGCTTTCAAGTCGGTGTACTGGAGTACTGTATCTGGTCCTACCAACAGTACGAGGGAATAGGACATCCAAACACCCTGTACTCACAGTTGTCGATTGACTGATTGATATGTGGGGTTTAACGTCCCAAAACCACCATATGATTATGAGAGACGCCGTAGTGGAGGGCTCCGAAAATTTCGACCAGCTGGGGTTCTTTAACGTGCACTCAAATCTGAGCACACGGGCCTACACCATTTCCGCCTCCATCGGAAATGCAGCCGCCGCAGCCGGGATTCGATCCCGCGACCTGCGGGCCAGCAGCCGAGTACCTTTGGCACTAGACCACCGCGGCGGGGCTCGCAGTTGTCGAAAGGTTAAGCGCGTATCTCATGGAAGAATCGCGCTCACGTATCTGTCTTTAACGGAGAGACGCTTGGATTACATACGCGCTTGCATTCATTTCTGTCCTCGACTTTGCTCCGCGCCGTTTACGCATCCTTACCGAAGAGGGTGACGCTCTTGGAGAACGTGAGGGGCGTACACTTTCCAGTGTGGCAGCAACATTTCGAAAGAGTACTCCTTACCGTAAGGGTCGATCTTTTTTTATCTCGGCTAATCTCGACCTCGAGCGAAGCGAGTTCACTTTTTAAGAGTTTATCACAACAGTGCTGAGGCCTGTTACTTTTTTTGTTTTCCTTTTATTTTAATAATATCTTCAGTTTAGCGTCCCGAAGCCACAATATGATTGTGAGGGGCGCAGTAGTAGCGGGCTCCGGAAATTTTGACATTCTGGTGTTCTTTAACGTGCATTGACATCGCAGAGCATGCTTGGGTCCTTTTATATTAAGACAGACTAATTGGTGATAGATAGTCTCATACGCTCCGAATCCACTGACAGGCAATGCGATGGCAAGGCGTGTACCCACCAGCGTGGAATCCCATCTCGGCTCCACGCTCGACCAGCAGATCGTGGATGCCACTCGTTCGTTCCGTCGGTCTGCCCGCCCAGCGCTCCTCCTTCGGAAACGTGAAGCTGTTGTTCATGCCGTATGTTTCCTTCGACTTGGTGAACAGATACGACCTGCAAGAAAGTTAGAAAAACGAGATATAACAAATGTTTCGAGCAAGAGTATCTGTGACTCGTCTTTAGCACTTTATTTTTTTTTCAATTTTTGTGCTTTTTCAGATGCGAAGCAGCTCATTGACTAGCCTGTGTAACGCTGTTCATCCGTGTGTCCATACAAACGCGTGGCAACGCGCTCCCCCGTCGCAGGTGTTGGAGCGGTGCCAAGTAGGTAATGTCGCAGCTGCGCGTTGACGCCACGCTCCCCTCGCAGTGCGCGCTGACGTCACTCTCTTCCTCGCCTTCCGCGCGCTCGCCGCAGCGCCCGCAGCTGCCGCCTCGTCCGTTCGCCCCCAACACCTGCCGCTATCACCGTTCGCTCCGCTACCGCGACCACTGCTTGCTACACTGCCGATTCATCGGTTCACGCACAATAAACCGGACGCGTGCCTAACGTACGCTTTGAAACATGTCTGAACGAGTCACCTCCCTCTCGCTTCACCCTCCCCACCACTCGCAACGCTCGAGCGCACATCGAGTGGTAACACTCTTCCGGCTCGTTTATGTGCGATGGAGAGGACGCCGGAAGACGACGCTCCTTCGCCCGCCGAAACATCCACCGAAGAGTTTAGGCCTAACCTGGCCGTTGCTCTGAAGAAACGACAGGACCTACGCCAGCCATCTCTTCACACGAATCTTCCAGCACTCACCGCAGTACCCGCGTTAGCGCCGTTCAACCCGTGACGCCAACCATGCACAACGCTGCGGCTACGCATACTATCAGAATGGTGTGAATTGTTTTCTAAACATTATTATGTGGTCCGCCTCGGATATACGATGATTACGGTGCTCGTCTGTTGACCCGAAGGTCGCCGGTTCGATCCCAGTCATGGCGGTCGCATTTCGACGGAGGTGTGATGCGGGCACGTGCATACTGTGTGCTCGCAATGCGTGCTAAAAACACTTGACGGTCTAAATTTCCGCAGCTGTCCACAAAGACGGGCATCATAATGATTGTGGTTTTGGCATGCAAAATCCCAAGAATAACTGTGAAGATTAATATTGTTGTTATCATTAAAATTACGTATGTGAATTTGCACTGTGAAAAGTTTTGTAACTCGCACTCAAGATCACGGTAAACAAGTGTGTTTGCATTTGAAAACCAAGCCCACTATTTATGAGGTTTTGCGTGCCAAAACTGAGACATTATTGTGAGGCATGGCGTAGCTGCGAACCAGAGTTGAAGTCTGGCTACGCGGTGTTTCATAACGTTCACTTGAATCTAATTACACGGTTAATGTTACATTTCACCTCCTCTCAACTGCAGCTGCTGCAACTGGGAATCAAACCAGCATTTTTGAGCTAAGCGGAAGCAACACCTCGGCCGACGAGTTACCGCTGCAAGTACGTCTGTGCATTCCATCGCAATAGGAATGTGTATACACCAAGGCATGAGTTGAACGCATTACCTCGTGCACAGCAGCGCACTGCCAATAAGGTCCCGTGTAAGCGATGCGAGAAAATGAAGTCGTTCTCTATTTGGGATATGCCACTTGCTATTAATTTACGCTTGTCTAATCGGAGCTCTTCCGGCCACTGCTGTGCTTTTCAATGCAAGCAACTGGTTTCGATTCGGAAGAGACTTGCAGTGTGAAGCGGTTTGTTATATAGACTCACCTTGTGGCCCATTTTCCAAAGCGACCCGGGTCGGTTTCGATCAGGTCGTATGGTGGTTCTCCCTTTGTCATCCACTCGGCCAGATACCGGCCCGCTCCACCAGAATGAATGATGCCGTACCTGCAATATTAAAAAACAACAGAACGTTGCCTTCTTTAAGCATGTATAAAATCATGAAACTAGTAATATCTTAAACAATTATTCTGCCAAGCAGGAAATGACGCTCTAGGGGAGTCTACAGTAAATACTCGGCAAAATACGTAGCCACCTGAAACCAAATCGACAGTCGGCATTTGAAACGGTTTTCCTACTTCGTGTCTGATGTTTTTCCGCGTTTAAAACTATTTACTTTTTACACACCTCTTTCCTTCTGTCTTTCTTTATCAACTTACCTTCCAGAAGCAAGTTGGCAATTCTCTGCGCACTAGCTGACCATATTCTCTGTTTTCCAATAAGGGGTTATCACTCTCTCTTGTGGCAGAAATTCTTCATGGACGGATGGAAAATTCCGTAGCTTGCCACGTGTAGTCGCAATAGCGAGTTCAGGATTTGTCTCAGTGTACCGCAAAACTAAGCTTACGCTAATAGCGCGGATTGCGGAAGAAATCGAACCAGTTTACAAAAGAATGCAAAACACGGTTTATGACTCTAAGATCACTGCATCTCACTAAGACGGCAAATTAGGAACTCCCGAAAAACACAGTCCGCAATGACCTATAGACAGAGCGTTTCCTTTCGTGCAAGCCCCATCTGACTAAGCCATTTCGGTCACTAGTATTTAAAACTGCGTCGTGGCGCAGTATTTCTCTGAACTGCACTCGTTGGTGGCTAACGAAGTGAATAAACATTATCGCGATGTGCTGTAAAGACTAGGGTTACTGTACATGCTACCTTTAGGAAGCATATATAGTAACTCTAGTAAAGACGACAGCAGTCCTTCGACTGTCGTCATTGCTGCGTTTACATATACTGTTCGCTCCGCTTCTGTCATAGTGACGCGATCATTTCTGACAATTGCTTTTGCGCAAGACGGAATTACTCAACTGCGTGGAACATGCATTACAGAAAAGCGCTCACGCGAATCCGACGGCCACCCAGTAATTCGGGAATCGGGGCATGGGTCCGATACAGGGCAGGCTGTCGGCCGTGTACGTGATGGGCCCGGACACCGTGGTGCGGATTTCGGCATTCCTCAGCGCCGGAACCAACTCCATGGCGGACTCGATGTGCTCCATCAGCCGATCCAAATCCGGGTTGAAAAGCTCCCTTCCGAAGCCTGCGCATGCGCAAAAAAGAATCGCCAAGAATGACAGGCGTAACTTGTAGTAAACAGTCGGTTCTGTGCGCACAGCTGCCAAATCCCAGAAAGTACCGCAAAGTTTACGAAGTCGGTCCGGTTGTTTACGGTTTAAGAATATTTTGTCAAGTTCCAAGGAGACGCTAGAGCATCATTGTATTCAGTCTGAAGGAGGACAACGACGCTGCTACAAAGTGCACATGTCAACCGACATTTTGCCACACTGCCACCATTACGATAACGTCATATCGTCCTAGTTAAGTCAGTTGCAGCTGACCACAGCGGAAGGGCGCTGGTTTCGGGTTCAAATCTCAGACTTGGACAAATTTCTCGTCGTCATCTTGTAAGCTTCCATTCTCAGAAATTCACTTATTTCAGGTGTTTATATATCTTCGTGCTACAGACAATAAGGATTACAAGTTGTTAAATTTTCGAGCACCTCACACCACCTTGTGGGATTCTGGCGAACATATTTGTCGTTCATTTGGATGTCTACACTACCGAACATTCGCCAATGTTAAGCCAGCATGAACAGACCATGAACGTAACAACGCTGTGGTGAGAACATGTACAGGGCAGGCACTTCACATACAAGGCACAAAAAGTTTCTCACCGGGAGGCACCTTATCGGTGACCCAGTCATCACATATCTTCATTTTATCCTGGTGCTCGTAAGGACCTATGAGCAGGCCGTCACGCTCTTGCCGCATGTAGAAGCCGCCCTCGAGATGCCTGAGGACGGGGAATTCCTTCTGCAATGACAAGAAGTTGTGACAATAAGAAATAAAAAACTCAGAAGCATTTGTACACCGCAACAATTGAAGACACAAGCCTGCTACACCCTTGGTAATGTGTTAAATTATACATACAGTTGGAGATTAGTCTTCTTTTTAAGCATAACCGGCCACGATGTGAATGACACGCATTTTATTCGCCGTAGCATTATCAGTCGATTGCATTGCTTCTGCCTACCTGAAGGTCTCTGCGCCTCATGGGGTGTTGCTCGACATCTGAGACCGACGCACCTTTTTACCAAGTGACGATGCCATACGAAGGCGTCATCAAATAATGGCAATACGAAGGCATGATGACATCATAATAAAATTAAGAAGAAGAAATGGACACGGGCCGGGCGCGTAGCGGGTAGACAGGATAACCACTGGTCATTGAGCCACTGGTATAACCACTGGTATAAAGTGTAAGCAAAAAGCACAAGACTGGGTTGATTGGCGAATTATGGGAGAAGCTTTTGTCCTGCTGCTGGCGTAGTCAGTCTGATGATGATAATGAAATCAGATATACTGACAGACACAATATGCGAAAAAAAAAAAAGGCGGAGGCCACGCGGGACGAGTTGTGAATATATCTTGCAACTCCCCTGGAAATAAGCCAACCAAAAAGACACGCTCTTTAGCACTTGTATGTATGTATGTATGTATGTATGTATGTATGTATGTATGTATGTATGTATGTATGTATGTATGTATGTATGTATGTATGTATGTATGTATGTATGTATGTATGTATGTATGTATGTATGTATGTATTAGCACCGTCCTTTGTAATTGCATCTATATTTTAATCTTTCTTTTTTAACGCCACCAAGGTCGATTGACTTTAAATTTAGTACTGAATAGACCGATATCTGGCATTTAACGTCCCAAAACCACCATATGAATGTGAGACGCGGTAGTGGAGCCGTAATTGAGGGCTTCAGAAATTTTGACCACCTGGGGTTCTTTAACGTGCACCCGAATCTGAGAACACGGGCCTGCAACATTTCCGCCCCCATCGGAAATGCAGCCGCCACAGCCGGGATTCGATCCCGCGACCTGCGGGTCAGCAGCCGAATACCTTAGCCACTAGACCATCGAAGCGGGGCAACTTTAGCACTGAAAACTATTACTTTGGGAGGTCTCATATAGGAATACGTCGACTGGCGTACAGCTTCGGCGGATTTACCTAAAGTCGATCACGACTGAAATGGGGCATATTTAAGAATCAAAATCGGTCCTGCAGTGTTTCGCGTGCGCTTTACGTCCTGGTGCACAAGGCCAACTAGTGTTGCAAACAATGCAGATCTGCCAGCTGCAGTTAAAAGACAAATGGTGTGGCTTAACTTTTCATTGGCTTCAAGGGAACTGTGACGAACATACCAATAATTCTACACAAAATTTTGATGGAGGCGTGCAGGAGGCCATTACACTATCAAGAACTGGTGCAGCATCAAGGACTCGCTTTCTCGCGCATGATATGTAGCGCATTTGATGTGGCATACGTCCGGTTTTCTGTATACTCGTATTCACAGTCTTGATCGGTCATTTCAACATTCAATTCCATCTGGACTGTCCCTATTCGAAGCAACCGTCGTCTGCCACGTGTGGTTGGGAGTGTCATTCAAGAACAACTTTTGCTTACGGAATCGGAACGGCAGACAGTGCTGCCTATGATCGCCGTGGCAGCGAGGAAACTAACGCACACGTTCTTCTTGGTCATCCTCACCACAGTTGTCAGCGACAACAGCTTTCAACAGCGTTAGCATGCATTGACAACCAGCCGCTTTCTAAGCAATCAATTTCGCATTGTCGGAACGTTCAAACTTCGAACCAGAAAGCGGCGAAGGGGCTGCTGAAGTTTGTGTGGTCAACCGGCTTCGCCGAATGAATACGACGTTCCCGTGCCCGAATGCGTGCGCTTTTTTTACCTCTGTACCTTTAACCAATTCTCTCTTCTTTCCTTCCTTCTTTCTCCCCTCTTATCTTTACCTCTTCTCTTCCCTCCTCCCGAAAGAGTGGGCAGGCGTTGTGCCCCTCCAGGTGTCAGTTGCCAGCTTGCTCTTTCCTTTGTGCCCTCATGTATTCGTGTATGCAAATTCAATAGATAAATAAATAAATAAATAAATAAATAAATAGATAATTTTCTTACCTTTTTGTTGCCATTTACCCCTTCCCCAGTGCAGGGTAACACAGGATAATTTTCTTTTGATTAACCTCTCTGCCTTTCATTTTACCTTCCTCTCTCTCTCTCTCTTTAGACATTTCATCTGCTGGCTGTGGATTCAGAGGTGGGACGAGCGTGTGATCTCCGAGTCCACGGGAGCGCGAACCAAAATAATGCAAACGGCAAATGTGGGAGAAAAAAAAAGGTGGCGAGTTTGTGCGTATATAGCGAATTTTTCTCGCGACGGACAGTGTTATCATCTAATGCAGAAGTAAATGTGGCTCCCTCGAAAAGGGCTCCACCGTTATGTTGTAGATGGGTGATTGTGGAACTGAAACAGCGGTTACGGTGCTTTGCCGGTGACGTGAAAGTCGCGGGTTCGACCCCGGCAGCGGCGGTCGCCTTTCGGTGGACCTATTTCGTGCACTATGTGATGTCAGTGCTCGTTAAAGGACACCAGATGGCGAAAAGTTCCGGAGTTCTTCACTACGGCGCTCCTCATAATTATATCGTGTTTTCGTCACGTAAAATTCTGTGTATTATTTATTGGTGGTAGCTGTGGAACGTTGAGGTTAATTAAGAGTACGTCTGCCACTCAATTTGTCTATAGTGGGCAGCAAAACACTTGAAAGAAAACGGAAACAGTAGTTACTAAATAGATGATTAACAAACAAATAATAAGAATACTCAAACGTAACAAAGAAAATGAGCTATACACTGTTTTATGCAGAGGGATAGAACAGATGTCCGCATGCATTGTATACCTTGAGATTCTTCACTTCTGGTATGGAGCTTGTGATGAAGTACTGATGGTGAATGGGAACGAGTGGGAGGTCGACGCCAGCCAGGGCATTTACCTCGTGGGCCCAGAATCCTGCGATACGAAGTGTGCAATCTAGCATTATCTACAGCAAGAAGCACTTATCAGTCTGATAAGTACGCCGAGAGCACTGGGACAAGAAGCTATATCAGCGCGTGTTATGATCTTGATGCCTCCCCCCCCCCCCTCTTTTCTTTCTTTAAATGTTTCGGCTCACTTCCACGCAATCATGAGCATGCCATAATGTAATTGTCTTATGCAATTTTAGCAATAGGAGAAATAAACTTTACCGAAACAAAATGGGCACTGAAGAAGCGTGACGCGTGCATGTGGAGGCACTTCGTGGCGATTGAACTAACTATGCAGCACACGAGTGCTCCAGTCAACTAATGGCCGCAACTACCTGCCTATGACGTACACTCGGACCTGCATATCACGGAGTTCGCCAACGGAATAGTGAGCGATTTCTAGCTGCCTTTGAAACATAACTGTAAAATTCTTTCCACGTGGAGTGCCATAACACTGTGCTCGCATGTTCACACGAGCTTCAACAAACGATAGGACGCGTTTTCTAAGAATGTCTGGAGTTTAACGAGCCCGAACCACGATGCGATCATGGGTCAGGCCACAAAGGAGAACTCTGAAAATTTCGACCATTTGGTGTTATTGAACGCACACTGACCGCTGTTGCGTAGCGTATGTTTATCAGCTCGCGACTGCTTCTGCGCAGAGCCGATAAGACGAGCGGACGAGACGACGGTGAGTTAAACAAGGTTTATGTACAGCATATATACAGAGGCGTTACAATTTCGGCACTGGGGCCGACAGAGACTCGAAGAGCCGAGCTTTCCTCTCTAACACATAGGTCAGCCTTTCGCCTAAGACCGCTGACTCGCATACATGTCGGCCCTCCGACATGGGGGTCTCCTCGCTCATAGGAACGCCGATCGCGACGCGCCGCAGGGCTTCTTTTATTTACACCGGGTCCAACCAAAATGTCCAATCAGAAGCGCCGCTGGTCGTCAGGGCAGATCCCGCCAATGGGGGTCGCCGCGCCATGCGTCAGACCACCAGACACGCGGACGCCGGCTCGCTGTCACGCGCGCAGCTGACTCACTGCACGTGGGCCAGAGGGGCGCCGCGCGTGTTCACGCCGTCGAGGTGATCGCGCCAGGCCGACTGCGGGCTGGCCTTGACCCAGATTGCCTTTTTCAGAGGCACGGTCGTTTGACGAGGACTCGCTGGCATAACAGCACCCCCGCCGCCAGACAATGCACCGGAAAGACGAGCTGCTTCCACGGGGCTCGGATGTCAGGTGCGCTCGTTTCGCCAGGTCCCTCCAGGTTCGCCTCCAGGGCCATGGGGAGACTACAGCTCCAGACTGTTCCGGGAACACATCCCATTTTTGACGACGGATCCCAGCTCCACTGGCTTGTCGCCACAACTTGCTGACCAGCTTCACTCGTCTCTTCTGACCATCTTCGGTTTCAGCACTTGTCGAGGGTTCTGCAACTTGCCAAGAACGGATCGACAACAGACAACACACGACACACGCAAGTGCCTTCGGTCACCCGACAGAACACCAGACAAAGTATAGTACAACATATACCTATCTACGTGTCTATCGGAATTTTGTTCCCTCTACATCAAGAGGCACATGTGGGACACAAGACTCTTAAAATGACAACTCAATTTTTTTTTCCCACGTACAACAACGTAACGGATTAGAATACCACATAAAGTTGGCCCCTTGAGATCACTCTGAACGAGAGCGCTCAGCCCAGGTCGTGATGAGGTCAAAATTTTGCCCCGAATCGCCAGCCAGAAACCGAAAGGTTGAGAAGGTACCAGCTAGAACGCACTGCTCAATGCACCTCCATTAGCGTTTAGCTTTCCCTTTTTTTTTTTTTAGCGAACGTCACAGTTGCGCTGTGGAGCAACGTGCTCCACCTCAGTAACCGGCCACTTTTAGGCGACGATACCTATGCGGCACCAAGAGCGGCTCACACTTTCGACGTTGCACAGGGGAACAACGATACGGCTTGCTACGGATTGACTCCTCACCGCTTAGCTCGATATCGTGTTCGATCACCCTCGTGCTTCCGGGGCGGTCCGAAAACACGTCTTCAAACTCGGAACCAATCTTTCTCAGGTCCTCTTTCTCAGGTCCTCCTTCACTTAAGCTAGGCTCTAGGTTTATCTGCTCCCGGATTACTTTCGATCCCCCTTCAATTACCTCACTAGAACTCAAAATTTCTGCTTCCTCTTCCTTTGAAGCATTCAACAACAGATTTACGACCGCTTGATGTTGAACGTATGGTTTCATCAAGTTGTAAATTTTGTCCGGCCGCCTTCCTAATTTCTCTTCATAATTTGAATCGCAAGGCTTCGATAATACTGTGGCGGGCCCTTCCCAATCAACCTCAAGCTTGTTCCTTTTGGACGGCTGCAGCAGCATTACCTGACTCCCTACTTCAAAAGCACGCTTCTTCACCGATTCCTCGTAGTGCTCCTTCGACAGCACTTTTGCCGCGTTTTTCTGGCTTTCCACTAGCGCTTCAATTTGGCTTTCCACTAGCGCTTCAATCGAGAGATCCTCACGCTGCTCTCGAATGAGCGTCTCTCGATCAACTCTCGGCAGCTCGCTCCAACTTTCCGCTACAGGCGAGAGCGTTGCAGCCCTCTCGCTCTGATTCAATGGCGCCATGCCGTCTCCCCCAAGGCATACCGCGCCGGCCGCTTCCGCGACGGGCCGCTCGCGTGACTGCTCACATGACTCATGCGGAAAATTTTCTTTCTGGGGTTCCGTCGACCCGCCGACAAGGTCACTTGAGAGTTCACTGCATTGAACCAGATCAAGCTGCCGCGATAACTTCCGCGCTTGCGATCGCGTGAGGGCCATACACGCAAAGCCGGGGAAGAACGATTTGCCCTGCTCTTTGAGAAGCTGCTCCGAGTTGTTGGAGAAAAGATAAGGAAAACGATCGTTTAGCGCGGCAGACACAGCCGCTTCGGTGCGAAGCTTACCGAACGGGCCTTCAATGACAACGGTGGCGATTGGTAAGCGAACACTCTGCTCCTCGGCGACTTGCCTGATCCACGCGCATTCTCCTGTAAAGTCATCCGGAGACACCAATGAAGGATGGACAACGTCCATGGTTGCCGCTGAGTCTCTAAGTGCTCGGCACGTTTTCTCATTCACCCTAATTTCTTGGAGATACGGCTCCAACAACCGCATGTTTCTTTCTGATTCTCGGATCGTTGCGAAGGCAAACTTTTCCTGACAGTTTCTCGCGATGTGTCCTTCCTTTTTGCAGTTGTAGCAGATTAGCGGCTTCCGTTTGTTTTCCGATTCTGTTTGCCCTTCCCCTACACTGTCCTTCGTAAGACACGGGTCCTTCTTGAAATTACGGTGCGGAACGGGTTTCCGTTGATCAGGTTTCCTTGAAAAGCCCTCTTTCCTTTCATCCTTTTCAACGCGCACTGCCCTGCTATGCAACTTTCGGCGAGTATAATACTCCTCAGCTAACTCAGCTGCCTTATTTAACTGTACTTCCCCAAGTCTGTCCTGCAGCCAAAGTCTGACATTATCCTCGATGCAGCGGTAGAATTGCTCCAATGCAACGCATTCCACCACTTTATCGCGGTCGTCATAAACACCTTCGCCCTTGAGCCATTCAATTAAATCGGCCTTAAGACGAAACGCGAAGTCAACGTGTGACTCATTCCCCTTTTCAGCATACCGGAACCTTTGCCTGAAAGCCTCGGGTGACAACTTATAACGTCTCAAGAGCACTTCCTTAACCTCGTCATAGCTCTCAAACGCTTCCCTCGACAAGCAAGTTATCGCGTCGGACACTTCGCCGGGAAGAAGAGCTAGCAGGTTCCGCGCCCAAAGAGACCGCTCCAAAGCGTTTCGCTCGCAGACGTGTTCGAACTTGACGAGATACTTCGCCATGTCCTCGCCTACTACGAACGGTGGCAGTTGGTCCCGAATTCTAAAACCGCTGACCTGAATCGTCGGAGAAGCTACGCTAGGCGCCTGCGAACACTGTAGGATTGCCAATTCTAGTCGTTTCATCTCAAGGCGCTCCTGTCTCTCGGCCTCCTCGCGACGTTCGCGCCTTTCAGCTTCTTCACGTTCGCGAGCTTCGCGCCTTTCAGCTTCTTCGCGAGCTTCGCGCCTTTCAGCTTCTTCGCGAGCTTCTACTTCTCGCCTTTCAGCCTCCTCACGGCGTGCTTTAATATCCACCCAGGCCTCATCGACTTCCTCAGCCGACACTCCCTCATCCTTCATGATCTCAAGGATCGCTTGCTTTCGTTTCGCACGGCCCAAAGTAATGCCGAGTTCCTCACAAATTTCGATGAGTTCCTTCACCTTAAGGTTCTCCATCGTTCACACTAGCCTCTTGCTGTTTGCCCCTGTTAACAATTTACTTGCCGTACCCACTATAAGTCAACTAGCAAGACGCGCAAGCAATTTTTCACTCTCCCGTGTTTACCCCCTCCGCATTAACTTTGGTTTCAAAGCACTTCGACTTTGCTTGAAACGATCAAAGCTCACTCTAATGCTTCACACAGCCCTTCTCTAAACTACTACAACCTGAGCTAGAGTAGTCTGGTGAACTGAGGGGAAAACATCAGGCACTCACCGCATCGATGTCGCTGACGCCGGCTCGCTGTCACGCGCGCAGCTGACTCACTGCACGTGGGCCAGAGGGGCGCCGCGCGTGTTCACGCCGTCGAGGTGATCGCGCCAGGCCGACTGCGGGCTGGCCTTGACCCAGATTGCCTTTTTCAGAGGCACGGTCGTTTGACGAGGACTCGCTGGCATAACACCGCACAGTAAGTGGTTCTATATCATTTCGCCTCCATTGAAATGCGACTTCGGCGGCCGGGATCGAAGACGCGACCATTCGGTCAGCAGACGCGCACCGTATGCGATACACCACGGCGATGAACGGGCAGTGTTTTCTGACCATGCTCTAAATGTGTCGCAAGGCCCCTTAAAGTTCTCATTCGCGGAGTGTTCGATGGTGCGAAGAACTGGATGTGAACCGACCTCTGCTACAACGACGTGCTACTATTATAGGCTTTTGCTCAACACAAACGCAAAAGTACACGCACTCCACAAAAGTTATCCGCGCTTCACCGATACCACATCATGGCCATTTTCGCCGGACTAGCGCGGTCTCGGCGATACGAAGATTAAGCAGCTTTGGTGATACTAGGTATTTATTTGTCCTTTCATTCACGGGAAAGAAGAAAGGGCGAGAAAATAACAGGTTTGCGCTTTCTGAAGGACGATTGCGACAAGTCCTTTGCTACATGAAATGTGCCAAAACGTGTTGCTTGTCGCCGTGAATAGCGTCTTGGCATCCCCGGCATCCGGGACAACTACAAAAGAGAAAGGTTTGCCACAAAAGCAGGACATCATGTGGCCAATTTTCGACGTCTCCGGAGGTCTTCTTCGAAGTGCGATTGAGGAACAGAGAAGAAAGGAATACAAGAAAGGTAGAGAGGTAGGAAGAACGAGCAAAGCCGAAACATAGTGACGCCCTCATGAACAAGCTTGCTCAGTAAAATACCGCATGGTAAAGCTATGACTGCGGTATCGTGGCAAACATAATAGTTGCATCCGAATACATCAGCATAAAAATAAGAAGAAAGAAATGAAGGCCTAATTTTTGTTGGACCACATGACAGGTGTTTTTCAAGGCAAGAAAAAATTATAGAACGGAAGCAGTGAAAGACGTCTAGACAAAAGAGGTTTCCAGAATTACACAGTTTCACCTATCGTTTCGTCTATCAAGGAGTGATTCACCAAGACAACTTTATTTGCTACCTAGGGATCTTAGACACACGTTTTGGTCGTCTACCAGCTTCCAAAGGTGTCGCCTATATGAAATTGCTTCGGTCAAGCTGCTACCATCGCAACTTTCCCGCTCCGATACGACATTGGTATGGCGCCTTTGGTTGGGTGTTGCATTCAAAACGGTGTACTCGTTTAGCATCGGTATGGCAGACACCTCTATATGCGACTCCTGCAGAGCTTTGGAGACCATCGAACACGTCCTGTAAAGCTGCACTCAATCACTACGACACTCAACGATACCTTCTCCGTATGATTTTGAACCAACAAGACTTCAGATCATTTTCTGTACAGAAGTTTCTAGAACCTTGGACATGTGCTTCGATGGCGCAGAAAACAACAAAAGAGCTACTGAAGTACCTGCACTCAACAACTCTGAGCGACTGCCAGTAGACTGCCTGTGCTCCACCTAGTGTGGTCGTGATTCTGAATATATTCCTTTTCTCCCTTAGTTACATCTTTCTTTTCCTCCCTATATCCCTTTCTCCAGTGCAAATAGCAAACTGTACGTGCGTCTGGTTAACCTTCCCGTCTGTCCTCGCATCTCTCTCTCTCTCTCTTTCTACATAGTTTTACCCAGGGCTTCTTAAGGCGCAACGTTGAACAGATAAAAGAAAACGAACTCACTCAGCATCAGTAACGCTTATTCAAAGTATCGCCAACTACCACTGTTTGTTTCGCTATTTTGCTTGTTTTTTTTTTCTGCCCGCGCAACTCATTTTTTGGTACATATCCCTTGCTACGACTGACCGGCACAGTTGACGACGTGCTTCGCACGTACAGGTCCTCGACTCGTCTCGACCAGCCATCGGCCGTCCCTGTGGTCCATGGAGAGACCCTGCACCACCGTGCCCTGGAAGATGCGCGCCCCGTACCGTTTGGCTTCAGAGGCCATGGCCATGGTCAGCGAGTACGGGTCGATGTGACCATCTGCCGGATTGTACAGGCCTCCCAGCACCTGCGTAATAAAAGGGAACAGGCTTTCTTTTTGAGAAGTTTGGACTCATATGTGGGAATGTCACAGCATTTTCATAACTTAACAAATCGACTGCAGGATTTGTACAGTATAAGTGCAAGCGAATTGAGTAAACAGAGTCACTCATGAGTATCTGGTTAATCAAAAGTAGCTGCTCGCGTTGCTGGTGGAGTGGCTGGTTTGGTTAAGTGACTAACTTTTCTAGCTCCGATTTCATGATCTTACCATGAAATAAAATTGTAACAAACTTCTACTTTATGTTTTTATTCGGAAACTTTCCTTTTACACAGTGAAGAGTTCGACGAAATATCTTATGGTAAGCTAACGTGCTGATGCAGAAGTTGCTGTCACCGAGCAAGTCCGAGTCTTTGCCCGCTAAGTAGACGCGCGCTCGTGCATTAGGCGATGGCAAAACGTTTTACGCTTTGTGCGACTTCTCGTGATAGTAGAATCTATGAGCCATTACACTCACCACAGAGTGCGTGCGTGGCAATAGCCTTTCTTTCCTCGTCATTATTGTGTGGAAGACGAAAATAGGACTATCGTTTTGCTGTAAGGAGCGAGGCATATTATACGAGCAATTTCTCAATATTCAATTCGTCCTGTTCTGTTTACCCCAAGCAGCCCGTTGCTGCACCTCTTACGAAACTGGCAGCATGCACCCGTTGTTCGAATGAAGACAAAGTGAACTACGATCTGAAGACGATGGGTCCCGCATTACCCATAGACGATTACACAACCAAAACTCATGTTTTTCATCTCGAGCCGTCTCAAGAACTAACCTGAAAGACTAAACAAAAGCCACAAAAACGAGAGAGTAGTTTGTTGATTTCAATTTCGAGACACCGAATGTCTGAGCTCACACAGCCTTTGTTAGGACAGTACCCGTCACGGTGTCCTACAGGTTATGTATGGCTCTCTACTGTTGGTCTGAAGGTCGCGGGATCGACTCCCATGGCCGCTACGGCACACTTCGATGGCGGTGAAATGCTAAAGGCTCATGAGCTTATATTTAGGCGCACGTTAAAGAACCTCTAGGTAGTCCAAAACTTTTGAAGCCCTTCACTACGGCAACCCTCATAATCATATCATGGTTCCTGGACGTAACACCCAATAATTATCATAATGATGGAAAAAGGCAACGTATGACAAACATTCGCCGTGTTGGGCGTGCCGAAACACGTACCTTGTCCACGTTGATGAAAGGTACGTGCTGCTTGATCTCGTCGACGGTGACCAGCTTCTGCGGCGCCTTGTTCCAACCTTGGCGCTGCATCTGGTACCGAAACTCGTCCATCCTAGTCGGATCCGACGCAAGTCGGATGCTGCCTGGACGGTGAAAACCGAGGTCCTGCAGCCGATTTCGAGTCTATAACAGTTTGTCCACTCTTGAGCGCTCAGTTTCGTGACACATAGCCATAGCCGCAAGTTGAAGATAAATATTATTTAGCGATGATCTCGCTCTGGCAGACTTGATGCCTTCAGGTAGACTGCGAGGGATTATTGAGCAGCTGTTTTCTAGTAAAAAAAATTGCCCGCAGCTTCCCTCGGGGGAACACTGAGGAGGATGCGGACCATATAACTGGTTAACGGGGTGTTAAAGTGCGACTTACTTGGGTCGATGGCTAAGTTGGTTAACGTGGTTGTGAAATGGGGTGTTAAATTGCGACTTACTTGGGTCGATGGCTAAATTGGTTAACGTGGTTGTAGGAGGGGGTGTTAAATGAGTGAACACGTACACACGTATGCGAAAGGGCGGCGCTGGTCGAAGGGACGTCGATCATTGTGTTTGTGGATTCGTTGGAATTCATTTCACCGCGACCTTGGACGTCGACGCGCCGTACAAACCAACCGACGAGCGGCAACTGAGCGAGCGAGCGCCGACCTTGAGTATATATATAGCACGACACGACGGCTCATGCACTGTCAGCTGTTAAATGTTCTCGAAGCGCGACGCCACATGCGCGTCCACTGGAGAATCAGGAGAATTGTAGATGTCGAACGCGGTGTGTAGAGGAGGAAGGGTGCACAGATGGTGGAGGAGTGAAGCGCGCGCGGTGTGTAGAGGAGGAAGGGATGCACAGATGGTGGAAGAGTGGGCGACGGCGCGACGGCGCATGCGCGCGCGTCAGCTGTCGAATGTTCGAGAAGCGGTGCGGACGGCGCACTACAAGGCGCGAGTATAAGATGCTCCGCATCTAAAAGTATCACGTGCCACGTAACGCCAGCAGAGTGTTGCACACTCGCCGTCGTGGCTATAATACTAGTCGCACGAATCAACACTCTGTGGTTTAAGTTCGCAGACATACGAGATAGAGTTGGCGGGAGGATGACCACCAGCGTAACTCAAACACCAGAGCACTGGACGCTATGCTCTAAGACTACAGGTTCGATCGTCCCTGCCGGCGGCAACTTGTCTTTTCGTCCACTCTACTTTCTTTATATTTATATCTTAAATATACACGAATGACGTCCTCTATGGTTTAATTGGCACAACTGCCTGTTGGCTCTCATTAAGGTTGATTCTCATACTTGACTAGTCATAACATATACTAGTCATAACGAGTGTGTAGCCGCTCCTGCTATACACTCGCAGGCGCGCGCCGCGCAGCGTTGCTTTGACGCAGGCACGTTTCAGCGCGTCCGGCGTCCCTCCGTCACGAAGAGAGGGAGACGCGGTGTTGTCTGGATAACGCATCGGCGCAAAATGCATGTCGCATTTTGAATTTCGCGCCGGTGGCCGTCGGGCCGCGCCTGCAGACGCTGGTCGCCGACGAGAGCACGCCTATCTCGCACCCAGGCCACAGGACGCCCAGGCGCCTTTGGCGGTATACCCTCGCTACAGTGTCTGGAAATACACTGCATAGTGTGCTGAGCGCGGGCTGGGAGATGGCCCCGCAGCTGATGACTGCCGGCAGCGCCCACATGGTGCGCTGCTGTGCGAATGGGTGGCAAGGGAGAAAGGAACAAGGCGAGCTCTTACAGGCCGATTACAGTCACGTCAGTGCTCTATAGATTAGCTATACAAGCCATCAAAGCCGAGTTGTTGAAGTGGGTTGAAAGTAACGGTATTTTAGGGGAACTGCAAAATGGATTTAGGCCGGGTCGATGCTTGGAAGAAATCTTTTCGTCATAACCCAGACCATCGAAATTTCGGCAGCACAGGGCAGACCAACATGGCTACTGTTTCTGGACATAAAGGGTGCCTATGACAACGTGGACAGGGGATTGCTGTGGCATATACTGGAAGAGGAGGGGATTGGGTTGGAATTTGTAGGGCTGCTAAGGGCAATATATGAGGATAACAAGGCACATATTACATGGGAAGGGCGTACATACACAGAGCCCGTGTACATTCGAAGAGGTTTAAAACAGGGGTGCCCTCTTTCGCCATTGCTGTTCACACTGTACATTAGAGGAATGGAAAGACGACTAGAGGAGAGTGGATTGGGCTTTGATTTGTCACACCGAAGCAATGGAGTGTTAGTGGAGCAACGGATTCCGGGATTGATGTACGCAGACGATATAGTGCTGCTGGCGGATAATGCGGAAGAACTTCAAAAACTGGCTGACATTTGTGGTGATGAGGCAACGTACCTAGGCCTACATTTTAGCCCACAGAAATCTGGAGTCATAGTGTTCAACGAGGAAGCTCATGTAGCACCAATAAGGATACAACAGGAAGACATACCATTAGTAAATAAGTACAAATACTTGGGGATCTGGCTTAATGAAGGAAAAGGCTACCTGAATGCTCATGAAGAACACCTCAAACTGAAAGGGAGACGAAATGCAGCAGTAATGAAACATAGAGCACTTTGGGGACACAATAAGTACGAGGTAGTACGAGGCATCTGGAAAGGGGTAATGGTGCCGGCGCTCACGTTCTCTAATGCCGTATTATGCTTAAAGTCAGATATCCTGTCGGGGCTGGAGGTTAACCAAAAGGCAGTCGGCAGATTAGCTCTGGGAGCTCACAGTAAGACTACAAATGAGGCTGTACAAGGCGATATGGGTTGGGCTTCATTTGAGGCGAGGGAAGCACAAAGTAAAATACGGTTTGAGGAGCGACTTAGACATTTAGATGAGAAGAACTGGGCAGCCAGAGTGCACAGATACCTGTACCTGAAAAGTGTGTACACCCAATGGCGGAAGAGGACGCGAAAGCTGGCGACTAAATATAACTTGACCGCGGCAAATAAGCAAAGGGGACCAGTTAAAAAGCAAGTGAGGGAAGCAGAGACGCTCATGTGGAAAGAGAGGATGGAAAAGAAGGGATCGCTGGGAATCTACAAGGCAAGCAAACAAGAGATCCGGAAAGAGAACTTTTATGACAACAATAAAGGTAGTGCGTTGCTCTTTGAGGCGCGGGCTGGCTGCTTGAGAACTCTAACTTACAGGAGCAAATATTCGTCACAGGATGAGACATGTGTTGGATGTGGCATAAATAAAGAAACAATCGACCACATAGTCATGGAATGCCAAAAGATTTAGCCGGATAGAAATGGGGGGAAGGTCACACTTCCTGAGGCGCTGGGCTTCGCGGTTGATGGAAGCATTAACTGGTCAGCAGTAGGTATTACTAAGCAGCAGCTGGAGTATTGGTGGAGGAAAAGCAGAGAAGTCGATAAAATAACATCCCAGCCAAGAGTAGCGGCTGGGCAAAATTAAAAAGACATCCGAGTTGAGGGACAAAATTTAAACTCGAATTATTAAGGTAGGCTAGATGGCGCATGCCGTCACCCCGATTCAAAGGGGAGACCTTTAATCATCATCATCATCATCATCATCATCATCATCATCATCATCATCATCATCATCATCATCATCATTCGCGTTTAATCCTTGCGCTCCGCAAGTGCTGCGAAGCCTGCGGGAGGCCGAGCCGCGCGAAGCCAACTATTATTTTCCTGCGTTTTTGGAGTGTTTTTTTTTTCTTGTATAAGAACTACTCGATTGCTTTCTCAGTACTGGCGCTTTGCAATACCAAATGAAGATCATTTCGTGGCATACATATCACCATCCGCTACTGCCCGCAAAAAAAAAAAGAAGGCGCAGATCTCACGTAACTTGGAAATCAATGCTATGCAAATCGACTCTGTTGCAATTTTTTATTAAGTGAAACATTATGAAGTGGCCCTAAATATATGCGAGATGTTGGATAGTCAACACTGGAACCAGCATAGGCGTTTCACGAACATTTGGCTCTTCTTGCAAAGTATTTCGAAGACCCTTAGTTGAGGGGGTGATCGTGAGTGCACCCAGACGTAGGCGATTCGATAGATAGATAGATAGATAGATGGATAGATAGATAGATAGATAGATAGATAAATAGATAAATAGATAAATGGATAGATAAATAGATAAATGGATAGATAAATAGATAAATAGATAGGTAGATAGATAGATAGATAGATAGATAGATAGATAGATAGATAGATAGATAGATAGATAGATAAATAGATAAATAGATAGATAGATAGATAGATAGATAGATAGATAGATAGATAGATAGATAGATAGATAGATAGATAGATAGATAGATAGATAGATAGATAGATAGATAGATAGATAGATAGATAGATGTTCAAAGTGGTTGCAGTACGCAAAGAAATTAATTTTAAAAACCATTGACAGTATAACCACCAGAGTTATTTTTTTTAAATGTGCTTTGTTCTTGAGAGCAAGAATTATCACAGAAGACCCTAAAACCTTTACCTCTTAGCCTGCATTCCAATAGGATTAGAGTGAAAACAACGAATGATAACATGCCAATGAATAATCTGACACTCGCCGCATATGATACTCAAAACGTTGTTGGAAAGCGAGTCCGACGTTGACATGGGAGAAAAGCTGCGTGAATAAAATTCGAAAGGTTATTTGCAATTTTTTAGATAAATATTAATATTTGAAATTTTGACTAAGCGGCGATTTCATTCCCGACATCGTTCACCCTGATCCGAAAAGATAGTTCGATGTAGTCACTCTCAGAATGCCTTTCTCACACGACAGCCTTCTAATTCAGCCTTTTGTCTGCCCTCTTGATCCTACTTTTTCATTCAGGAAACCGTGCTGGATACGGTGCGGGGAACAAGACACCCTTTCCTTGTTCGACCGCTAACTTCTTTGACACAGCAGCCCAATACACGTGCTTTCTTTGCATTGCCGCTTAGCTTTTAGCATCTTAGGGTGTTGCAGTGTACATATGGCGCCGTCGAACTTCACATTAAATCAGATGACAACTGTCACACACGGATTTTAAACGTGGCGAGGCTCCGGCAACAACAGGACGAAAGGAATTTCGCGCGTTCGCGCACCCTCTCGACACGCAGCGCCACTTGTGGCATCAGAGTGCAGTCATCACATGCGCGGCCACCCACTCTCGTACGGAATGCGCGCGCTCAGCGCACTAGGCAGTATATTTTTAGACACTGTACCCTCGCTCCCAGAGACGCCATAACTTGTTGGGAACTGCCAAGGCGCGCCTCGCTAGCATGGCATGCAGTGGCTCTGGGAGTTTGAAATGCGAAAAAAGCGCTCGTTCATGCTGTGCCCTCTTATAAAATGTCATCTGGGCACCGCTATGCTGTCATCTGATCCGACAACCAGCGTAAGAGGAAATGATTGCCGAGCACTGCCTGCGAAGTTCACAGAACATCGCGGGAATCGTGCCGGTGCGGTGTTTTGCGATTGCACAGATCTAAATCCACAACAAAAACTTGAGTTCCACCGCCCTATAGGGTATAGTCAAAATCAGTAGGAAAAAAACTACGAGCCCAGTGCAGTGTACGAGTAAGTATACTTATTGCGTTTATTCAAGCGCGACTCCCAGCTGTTACACTTTACAGCAGCGATTTGCGTGCAGTACGCCTGTAGTATGCGGCACAAAACTATTGCCACACTCATTCGCAGGCCGCATGTCAATAATAGGATATACGTATTAGGACTCATGCGTGGATGCACGCGCCGCGCATGTTTAGTACAACTGTAACGGCCTACTATCGCGGTAAAAAGAGATGTGAACGGCGCGGTAAGCATGGTTTTCGACTCGGTCGAACTGCTACATGCCTTGACTGTTACTTGGCGAATTACATGTGCTTTCAGCTGTTGTCACCGTGGCATTTTAGTATCTTGTTCTGGAGCACTTTTGAATCGCGTGTGTGTTCCGAGTGCCCGGCAGGACTGGCAATTGATACACATGTGGTGCGTGAGCGTAAGTTAGAGCCAGATTCTAGCGCTACGTTGACGCCGACTTGACAACTAAGGCACGCCACAGTTAACGCTGTTCGCGTTTTTTTTTTCAGTCGGATAATACGTGCCTGATGAAGTAGCTTCCGCAATTTGCAATCCACGTGCTGCAGACATTCCGGACTGTCGAGAAAGGTCTCCTCGACGTTTCACACGAAATAATCACAAAATTTCAGCACAGGAACAGCGCAAAACATGCTCACAGCCGCACTCGGGTTGAGAAGTTTCGCGTTTGATTTGCAGAGCGTCTGCTCGCGTGGCAGTTGAGAGTGTTGCTTCGCTGCACTTGCAACAGGTGGCACCACGCACTTTTCAATATGGCAGCAAGTACTGAGCTCACTGTGTTCTGGTGTTGTTTTGCTAATTTTGCTAAAGTAGCGTCGCTGTGCCCAGCGTGCGTGCGCGTCAAGGCTACATTGGAGTATATTGGGCCCTTCATGATGCGCTCGCGGCCATTTTGCTAGCTCCATATATACCGAATTCGTTGTTACGTGACGTCAATGGACAACAAAAGTATATGACTGGTGCAAGCATGATTATCCTCACACGCGTGTCACGTAAGAACATGACAACATACCACGCTCCTAGCGTGCTCATCGCATTTGAATTACCAATATCTGTCCTCGCCTTTCATTAGTAGGTATAAACTGTCCAACACTTGCGGCGCACACCCGAATGTTGCGGCCCGTGATATACGGATACGCACATGCCACATGTGCCCGGAGGAAATGGTTTGAAGTCGTACGCGACGGTCTTTTCGCATCATTTGTGTCATGATATGAGTCATAATCGCCTAACCCTCTTGCTCTCCCCTACTAATATCGGTCAACCCCAAGTCAAGGAGCTGATCACGAGAGCACGTATACGTAGGTGGACGAACGAATGGACGGACGGACGGACAGACGGGCAGACAGACAGACGGGCAGACAGACAGACAGACAGACAGACAGACAGACAGACAGACAGACAGACAGACAGACAGACAGACAGACAGACAGACAGACAGACAGACAGACAGACAGATATACAGAAACGCTCAAATTGCAGTACGCAAAGAAATGCTTCCCATCAAATAAAATACAGGGTGCATGACATATTAAACGCTCAATGTCATGCGTCTTGAACGCCGGTACTACATAATGAAAATAAAATAATATGGGATGCATGTTGAGCACTCAACGCCGTGTGTCGTGTATTAGTTTTGTCTTCACTTAGCACACCTTTAAAGATGAATGTATCAGCACAAAGCCTCCGAGAAAAACTATGCCTGGAACGTCGCTCTCTTTTCAATTGGAAGCCTCCTGCCAGCACGCAATCTCAGAGGCCATGCATCCTGCCTTGTGTTGCGGCCGGCCGCCGCGTGGGACCACTCGCCTCCGTGCCGCTTAGTTGTCTAGAGGCTGGCGATGCAGATTATAAAGGAAAGACTGCAGGCACAGATAGAGGATGAGGGGGTGCTGGGGGAACTGCAGATTGGGTTTCGGAAACACAGGAGTTTGGAAGACAATATGTTCTCACTGACGCAGTGCATCGAAATAGCAGAAAAGGAACACAGGTCTCTGTGGCTAGCATTTTTTGATATCTAAGGAGCGTACGATAGCGTGGTTCAAGAGGACTTGTGGGGAATGCTGGACACACTAGGTGTGGACGATGGAGTCACTAATATTTTAAAGGATATCTAGAAGGTTAGGTGGGCAGATGAGATTAAGAAGTTTGCGGGTATAAATTGGCAGCAGCAAGCACAAGACCGAGTTAACTGGCGGAACATGGGAGAGGCCTTTGTACTGCAGTGGACGTAGTCAGGCTGATGATGATGATGATGATGATGATGATGATGATGATGATGATAAAGGTAACAAGGTATTTACAAAATGGGAAAAACAGGTATCCATCCAATCCCACAGAGGTTAAACGAGGGCTTAGACATGAGTGTCTTCTGCCACCCTTGTTATTCATGATGTACCCACAAGGATTAGAGGCCTAATTAGAGGGAAGTGGACTTGGCTTCAACCTATCTTTTGTCAAACAAGGAAAACTCATTGAACAGGCACTACCAGCATTGATGTGCGCAGATGATATAGTGCTAATGGCCGACAACAAGGAAGATTTGCAGACATTGATGGACATCTGTGGTAATGACGGAGATAAGTTAGATTTCAGATTAAGTTAGGAAAAATCAGAAGTCATGATTTTTAATAATAATGAAGGTAGTGAGCTTAAAATGCAGGAGGCAACGCTAGATATAACAGATAAATACAAATATCTGGGAGTATGGATAAGCAATGGAACCGAGCACCTAAGGGAACACGAAATATACGTGACTACTAAAGGTAACAGGAATGCAGCAGTAAGGAAAAATACGGCAATGTGGAATTACAATAGGTATGATGTTGTGAAAGGAATATGGAAAGGGGTCATGGTTCCTGGTCTGACGTTCGGCAATGCGGTCTTGTGCATGAGATCAGAAGTTCAAGCAAGATTAGAAATTAAGCAATGTGGAAGAGGTAGGCTTGCCTTAGGGGCTCATGGGTATACACCAAATCAGGAAGTACAAGGTGATATGGGATGGACATCATTCGAGGGCAGGGAAGCTAGCAGCAAGATAAATTTTTAGAAGTAATTGAGAGAAATGGGGGAGGAGCGTTGGGCTAGGAAGGTATTCAGCTACTTGTACATGAAGAATGTCGATACAAAATGGAGGAAGCGAACCAGAAAATTGACGGGTAAATACTTAGAAAACAGCAGGGGGCCAAACAAAAAAAATAATCGGTTAAGAAGGAGGTGAAGGAAGCGGAGACAGATATGTGGAGAATTGGCATGATTAAGAAGTCAGCACTAGAGATCTATCGAACTTTCAAGGATCTATGATAACACTTGGGGTAGTTCTCTACTGTTTGAGGCGAGGACGGGAGTATTGCGAACCAAGACATATCGGGCCAAATACGAAGGGTTAGACACGGTATGCAGTGCGTGTGGACAGGAGGAGGAAACTGCGGAACACTTGATAATGTTCTGTAAATGGCTTCACCCTATAGTTCAGTATGATGGCGCAGAGTTTTTCAAAGCACTGGGGTTTAGGGACAGGGAGGGCAAAATAGACTTTAAGCGGGTAGAATTAACTAGAAGAAGGTTATCTCATTGGTGGCTCGAGTGAGTCAAGGCACGAGTGAAAATTAAACCCGTCACTGCATAGCACCGGTCCTCCTCACTATTTAAAGGAAAAAAAAATCTAGTTTTTGGTTCACTAAGTATTACAGCTTGGTGGCGTTAGCCACCACCCGATATAAAGGGTACAGTCATATCAATCTATCCATCCATCCTCAGTCACGTGGCATAACCGTACAGCTCTGTCACGTGACATCACGGCTGCTCGGAGGCAACTGTGAGAGCATTGCTGTGTTTGCAGGGGGCGGCCGTCGGAGACGCTCGCCTTCGTACCGAAGCAGGAGGGTAAAATCAAAGGATAGGGCAGCGCGTTCACGGCTCACGTTCCAGGCGTAATTTTTCAGGAGGCGTATCAGCACGAGCATGCAGTTTTCGGTCAAACCTTCCACAGGATGTCGTGGCACCCGTCCCTTCACCTACTCGTCCAGTGTCCAGTTGCAGAGCGGCGAACAGGTTGATGCTGTCGTAGTGGATCCTCTTCATGTTGATACCCGGGTGGTAGAGCGCCGCAAGGCCAGCCTGCACCCCCGTGGCTAGTTAGATTACGGTTGAGAATTGCGTAATTAATTAAATAATTACTATTTATGTATTGAATAATTATAAAATACATTGATATGTAAAGCGTATACAGCAAAACTTAAGCTGAGGTGAAAGAAATCAATTTAGTGAATTTACTATGGTGGTGACCAGTTAACCTCAACAAATTGCATGTGCTTGGAAATATCTAAAACGCACCAGCAGCGCTTCTTTATTATTTAAAAAAAAACTATTCGTACAGGTTAATGACGTCAGAAGTGCGTTGTTTTTCTAAAGGCGTATGACAGCTGTTTATATTAAGTTTGTAGGCAATACCTCCTACTGGACGTGTAGACCGTATTTTTCTTTAGCGCTATGATGCGCAGTGAACTAAACTTAAAACACAAAGAGAGATAAAGAAAGGAAGGAATAAAAGCAGGACGGAAAACGATATGCCTTCGATAGAGGAAGTTGTATACATGCCTCTCTAAACCTAATGCAGTGCAGCAGCAGGGATATAAATATTGCAATATTTTGTCAGTATAGAAGTTAATTAATCAATCAATCAATCGATCGACCGATTGATCATGAGGTGTCACATACCGCGTGCCACGTCGAGCCTGCCGTCAGCTCACTTTTCTCGAGCAGCACGACACTCGGGTGGCCCAGCCTGGCCAAGTGGTAGGTGAGGCTGGTGCCCACGGCGCCACCTCCGATAACAGCCACCTCGACGGTGGAAGGTAGCACCTCGGTGGCCGCCTCCTTCTCGGGCACACGCGTGTCCGTTTTGGTGCTGCAAATATTTAGTGTACGTCGATGAGCTGAAGCGACGAAAACGCTGTTTCTGTTTGGTTTCCGCGAGATTGAAAAGACAAAATGGCGCAAAAAAAAAACATACCCAGAGAAATGAATGGAAGAAAGCAGGGGAGCGTATGTACTCCCCTTTAGATAAGACCATATATTTGAAAATGACAGTGATGCCAATGAAAAGCACAAGGGAGATCAAGCTGCTTTAAATATTTAACGGATTGGCATAGTGACAACGTTGTCATCTAGTAATATTTGAATAGATGTTGTATTTACGGGTGGGTAGTCGTTCTATGTTGGTACGGTGGTCACGCCAATGCACACCACACGTGAGTGTGCAGAAACTATGAAATTGATAGATATGTGGGGTTTGACGTCCCAAAACCACCATATGATTATGAGAGACGCCGCAGAGGAGGGCTCCGGAAATGTGGACTACCTGGGGTTCTTTAACGTGCACCCAAATCTGAGCGCACGGGCCTACAACATTTCCGCCTCCATCGGAAATGCAGCCGCCACAGCCGGGATTTGAGCCCACGACCTGCGGGTCAGCAGCCGAGTACCTTAGCCACTAGACCACCGTGGCGGGGCCAGAAACTATGAAAGGCCTATTCAGCTGTTCTGCTCTTTCCCATGAATGCGACATCCGGCATGTCCCTTTACATATAGGAATGCGCCAGCTGGACTCGTGTAGAATATTTTCTGGGGCGGCGATTGTTAAACGATGGCCGCATTCGTTAATGAAGGGGAAAACAATAAGTGTTATATATACTGTGGTTTTCGAAGAACACTACCCAAAGGGGCAGATTGTATCCTTCTTGAGTTCGTGTGCAGTCTTTGACATCCCACTTTTTTGTCTTTCTAATCCCAGTTTTCCTACCGTTAGCGAAGGGACTGGATGCTCGCATAGGTAGTTGACACCTCTGCTTTCCCCCTCCTCGCTATATTCTCCCCTTTTTCTTACCCCTTTCCTGAAACGCCTGATTTCTAGTGAGGAGCAGTGGGAGACTGCCTTGCGCAGCTTGAGGCCCGACATACGGGAAGCTATGGATCCTGGAGTTGGCTGAGAGGGTAGAGGACCATTAAGTATTTTCTCCCCACCGCTCTCTGTTATATCGCCCCCTTCCCTTTAACCTGGGATCAATAAAGTTGTTCATTCATTCTAGCGCTGCGGCGAAATACGCGCAGGTGCACATTGATGCAGTGTTCCTGTGATTCATTCTCACCAAGCAAAGTCAACGTGCCGAGTGACCGTTATCTGCGGATGCGACCAAACACGCACGCCGAGTGTCCGTGTGGACGGATGGTGTGCGTTATCTTCAGATAACGTGTCTTTCTTCCTAGGCTGCCCTAAGCGCGTTCAGAGAGAGCCCGGATATACGAAGGTATCTCGAGTATCTTGGCTTGTTTGTTTGGCTCCCGACGAAGGACTACAACGCACGAGAAGAGTTGTCAATCTTCGCGATTGTTATGACAAACGTTCCTCCTTACAACAGCTGCCACGTGGGCTCACAGGCTACGGAGTTCTTGAACAAAGCTTTGCTAGGATTCCTATTGGACATTAAGTAAATGATTAAAGAAATTGAAGACGGGATTGCCGTCAATCAGGATTGTTTGGGATAACGCCCCATTCAAATATATTTTTCTCTGTCATGCTCCGAGTTAGTCCGGCGAATGACTGACAGTGTTTCGTCCTCTGATTATCGCAATGCATAATTGGCTAGATAATGAAACATTAGCTTGTCGGACCTGGCACACGGTTTTCTCGGCGAGATTTCACAACAACGTTAGCGTTGTGTTGCACGAACAGGTGCGTATTGAGAGCGGCTGCAGACGTTATGGTCGTTCTAGGTAAAGACTCCCTGCCTTTCTGTAAATAAATTCTCTTTATCTGGCTAAGGAAGCAGCGCCGCGTTAATAAAAAAAAAATGACGTACATATATCGAAGCTCGAGTCTTTGCAATGTCCAGCAAAAGTTTTACTCTTGCTACTCAGCGACACACTGCTGGAAATATAGATTTAGATGTAGATGCAGATCCTAAACGCGTGGCGTGTTGGCTTTTACTTTCTTTCTTTTTTTCCCCACACGAATGCCACGTGCTAGCTGATTAGTCCATCTGCGTGTTCACGTTCGAGGGATCACTAATAATGAAACAAATCAGGCTAGAACAATTTCTTCCTAACTACTTTAAATTGTAAAATATCACGTGCAAAATCCACGACATGATTGCAATGGCTGAGTCCGTAATAATTTTGAACCAGCTGCGTTTTTCAAGTCTGCATAAATGAAAATGTGCTGACGCAATATATAGCTGCGAATCGAACCCATGTCCTCGTGCTTAGCAGTGCAATGGCCTTTTTAATCACAGATATTGGATTAGAGAACGAGTGGGGGGGGGGGGGGTGCATGCATGATAGAGGTGTGGGTCGGCCGCACTGGGGCTTCAAAACGACGAACGTATTGAAACAGTGATAACGCGCAACACGTAAGCACGAGGCCGATGGCCATTGAGTCGCAAAACGTACGCATTTTGTCTGCTAGATATAGGACAGCTTGCTCGCGTACAATGTAGCGACCCGTAACGCTGACCAGAGGAAAGCCGTCAAGCCCGCGATAGCTTGCGTGCGCCGAGTGCATTGAACGGAGCACGCTTTCGGCGCGGCACAAACGCGAGCAAATTAGAGGTGTCTGAGAGAACGTCCCCACCTCAGGTGCCGCGTGCCGAGGCGGCCGGCGCTTCTCCCGCAATGCCGCAGCCGGCCTGCACGTCCACGAAACACGGCTGATGGCACGCATCTCAAGGTCGCCATTCTCCTCCCTCCGTCGTTGTGTCGGAACGAGCTCTTGCTTCGCACTTATGTGGCGACACTGCCCAACATCTCGCTACGATGACCGCGGGATCAGGCACGGAGACGAAACAAAGGTTCGGAAACCAAAACTCGGGAGCGCCTTTTGTAGGTGGCTCGGACAGCGCGAAGTGTGGACATCTGGCCGCGTTCACATTCGCGCAGTGTCTTGGTACGGTTTCTTGTTCTTGGAGTGGCCCCTTTATCGAGAATATGAGCCGGGGGTCATGGGACTGCCCGCACGTGCTGACCGGGCACCGCCCTCCTCCTTTAAAAAAGACCCTCCCGCTGTACCCCGCAACCGGCCACAGCCTGCTGCGATCCGGACGGGAGCCAGAAAATGCCCGCCGCTTTTTGTTGTCTGGTGCAACGGTGTCGCCCCTCCTCGTCCTCTGACACTCTTCCTAGTTTCTTTGTCCTGCTGGGCGGAGAAAGAAGGCTCAGTAGTGAGAAGGAGAATGGGAGGAGGGTGCACCGCGGAATCGCAGACCATTTCGGCACTTAGGCCGAGTTGAAGGGCAACTGTGTACGCGCGACACGTGCACGGCAGCGTGAGCGCCCTTACTATACCGTCCCGAAGATAGATCGATAGCCTCTTCTTCTTTAGTGATGTCGCCACCAGCATGTGCACATGATGTGTGTGAAAGAGGGAGAGACCCCTCTTTCTGGGTGTTTAGGGCCGTGTGCACATCGTGGCGCTATTTAGGCGGGGTCCCACGGGTGAGAGCGAATTCCTTGGTCCCACTGCTGGTGTAGGAGAGCAAGTGGTCCTTCTGCTGCCCCGACTTCCCAACAGATACAGCAATGGTGAGCTGGACCGCGTTTTTCTCACTAGGTTGCTCGGGTTATTTTCTTGTCCGAGTATAGAGACGTTAACTTTTTTAAAATATTAGTTTACAGGGCCCGCCGTATGCCAACATTGGTGTCCCCCCCAATCTTATCGAGGAGAGACGCTATCCGGTCTCTAACATCAACAACCTCAAAGAGTGCTTCCGCTCGCTTCGTCGTTCGGAGCCCTGTGAGAACCGAGTAATCGCTTGAACTCAGCTGCTGTTTTGAATGCGTTGTCCTTGCTCGGCAAAGGCTTTGTTGTCGGCCTTTGTGTTGGCTTCCAAGATACTCGCAGCATCGACGTCTTTTGAACGATCCAAAGAGAAAATTACGAAATTAACGTCTATTTTTTTTAAATCTGTTTTCATTCACTCCTCGTCAATAAAGCGTCACTTTTGCGAGGGGATCGTCACGAAATTTATGACCCATTCATTCATGCATGTACATGTGATAAGCACACGGTACACTAACGACAGGTTGTTGCCAGAGTCGCTCCACGTATCTTTCTGCCGGTGTGTCGCGTTCCTCGCAGTGCATTCCACAATAAACCACCCGAGCAAATACGTAACGCTGAAAATATTCAAGTTAGTGGGTAAGTTACTGGATAAATCACGATGGCTTAAAAAACTGCGGTCATTGCTCGACACGGGTCCGGTGACTGATTGCTTCCCACGTGCCTGCATAATCCGCATGGCTTTCCCGCATCCCTCGCTTTTTTGTGCGGGAAATGAATGCTTCCTGTCATGGCTGCGTCGGCACCCCTTTGCCGCCCAGACCCCTTCGAAAGATGACTCTCTATTGTGTTTCAACTTAATCTGGCACCGAATTGGAACTTACGAAGAGTGCCCCTGGTGACCGTGATCAAGCCTGAACTTTCATGTGTAACATGCAATTAAGTCATCGGTGTCGCTCCCGTCCTTCTAGAGCGAGTCGCTGGCTGCAGCAACTCAGCTCTCTAAAACTTGAGCTTAAAGGGACAATAAAGAGAAACACTGACTTGGTTTAGATGGACAAACTGCACTCTTAAAATTGTAATGCTCCATGTTTCTCCATCATGAGTCCATTATTAGCGGAGAAAATCAAGGTGGATGTTTCATTTTAAAATTTCGCGCCGATGTCTTCGCGCGTCACGTAAGAAATTTCAAAATCTATTTATATGTGTTCGTGGCGTTGGCCCGATGAAAATTTTTTTCGAAACTTCGTATGCCAAGTATACGACTCCCACAAACGAATATGTACTTCATTTTATCGATTGGAAGATACGTAGGATCCATTAGACACATTCAAAACTTCTTACGTCACGGTGCGGAAATCTCAATGTGGTGTCTCCATCCGCATTTTCTTTTCGTGCGTTTTCTTGCTTAGCAAGCGTCGTGTCTCGGTAAGAGTCGTTTTCGGAATTGTAAAATTCTAGTTTACTTAATTCGCGAAAAATCGTTTGGCTCTTTAGTGTCCCTTGAGCGTAAGGCTTGCAAATGGCAAGAAAGGGCAAAAACCATGGACAATGCGCAGTGATTTTCTATGTAGAGAACCGAGCTGACTTCCGTTGTGTCGTTCTGCGAATGGAAAGAAAAAATGTCAGAAATAATGATAGAGAGACGGGTACTTTTGCGCAAGATAGACGATGGCTTCTCGAGGACTGGTATGGTGTATGGTTAAGCTTCGCAATGTAGCCTTGAGACATTTGCCCCGCCGTGGTGGACTAGTAGTCAAGGTACTCGGCGGCTGACTCACAGGTCGCGGGATCGAATCCCGGCTGCGGCTGCTGCATTTTTGATGGAGGCGAAAATTCTGTAAGCGCGTGTGTGCTCACGGGGGACATGATCCTGTAGGGCTAAACTAAGAGGCAAAAAGAAGTAAGAAAGTCGGCCTTTTGCTCTTCATAATCGAGATAGTCATTTAAGATAACATGCTTAAGTAAATGCCACCTCATACTACAAAAATCTAGTTGTGGAACGTAAGCAGAACAAAGCAACTAGGACACGAATGAAACATTTTGGGTGAGTTCATGTTGGTTGTTTTGGTCATGATTGTTGGCGCAGTGCTCGTTTAATGAATGTGGCTCAGTTTGATTGAAAGAGTTGGAGCATTTGGCTCATTTTTCCTTTATTGGAAACTTCCTTTTGGAGTTCATGTTACAACGAGGAATTGCCCAATTTTGATTAGAACTGCTCAGAAGTGGAAGATTATTATAGGCGTGCTTTATGTTTCCGTAAAATGTAGCCTGATTTCAGTCTCTGCATTTGGCTCTCTTTGAAGAAAACGCCTCAATTTTTTTTTTCTGACGATGAAGATGTGTTTGCAAAAGAGTCGAAGTCACTACTGTAATTCTTGAAGGTAAGTGGGGGCGCCGATGTGTGCTCGCGAGTGTGGGCGTATGAGCGCGTGGACGTATCGACACGATAAGAATGAACAATGCAGCACGTACCGTTTCTCTCGATTGTATCGCAGCTTATTTGCCACCGAACTCCCAGTAGTGTGTTGTTGCCTGTTTAGGAAGAAGGGAAACAATTTAGAGTACCACGTGTTTCTCAATAAGATAGCTCTGCAACTGTCCTAGTCCCGAACATAACAATGTATTGAGGGAGCTCTTCGTTGCGCATGTTGATGCACGTTCACAGTTCCTTTTTCGGCACGAGTGAGCAGAACCACCAGAAAGGACACGGGACAGAGCGTCACCAAAAAAGTTGTCAGCGGCCCTCTGTCCAGTGGCATTCCTCGTGGTTTCGCTCTTTCGCTCCTTAAAAGCAACTATTCAATGAGGGGTATACAGCACGCTTGCGATAACTAAATCCATTATGCACTTGCCTCCTATATGAGCAGCAAATCATTCACCATAACTCTTAAAACACACACACGCACACACACACACACGCACACACGCACACACACACACACTAAAGAATGCACAGTTTTAAGTGACTTAAACATTATTTAACTGGTCATAGTATTTCCAGCATGCATGATTTCTCGGACGTAAGTACATCTGTACGCCTGTTGGAAGCAACTATTTGAAAACAGAAAAAAAGAATTGATCATTAAAACAGGATGCCAAATGCCCTTCAACGAGTCTGTTTGTTCCCGTAAGGAAGGTACACATTAGCACATCTTTAGTTTCGTAGTGCGCCAAAAAGTACATATGGGGCTAATTATATTGTAACGCACAATGCAGATGGTGTAAGTATAACTATTTATTGGGGCTAACTCATTCTTGAAAAGTAAAGAGAAAAATGTAGCAGCGTTCCTAACAGGTGACCCGAAAAAGCAATCAATCTCCGAGAAGTTCTCGAGCGCTGCTCCATTTTTTTTTCCCTCGTCAAAAGCCCGTGCTGAGGAGGCGCATCATCCCGGCCTTCGGGCTGCTGGTCTCTTGTCGGGGGGGGGGGGGGGGGGCGCTTGGATTCGCGCGCGTAGTTTGAATACCGCGTCTGTCTTGCGTCGATATCTAAATTTTTTATCGTGCACAATACCTTCAAGACACACCACAAGAAAAGAGCGGGTTTGTACGGCACTCCGTGATGCACACCTGCATACGGTCCCACGAACTTGCCGTACATTTTTTTTTTCTTGTCGAGGAGCTTCAGCTCGAATCAGCAATTTTTTGTAGTCGGAAATCGCTTATCTTGACGCACCCTTTGTTAACCTAAAACGTCCGAGTCGAATACTTGCAGAAAACTTGCAAGTCAAAATTGATTGTTGCCGTGTGCTGAGTTATCATTCGCGCTAGCCGAGTTCATTATCATCCAGACAGCTGACTCTTTATTTCGAATCGGGTACATTCACTTCTTCTTTGTACAAACTGCCTACGACAACTCTATTTGGTCTTAAGAATACTATCTGAGGCTTTACTCATGCGTCCAAAACCCACGATAAGATTATTAGAGACGCCGCATTGGAGGGCTCCGAGAATTGCTATCATGTGGTGTTGTTTAACGTGCGCTGACAGCGCGCGGGTTTCTGCTATTCTGTCTCCATCAAAATGCGACCGCCGCAGCCGGAATCGAACCCACGACCTTTGAGTCAGCAGCTGGGCACCTTAACCGCTGCTCTAACGCGGTGGACCTCATTTGGCTTTGAGACCGTAATTAAGGAAGCAGTGTCGACCTGCCATAGAAATATCGTTATATCCTTATCCAAAAACGGGTATAGATGTTATCATTCCGGAACTTTGAGCTTTATTCGCACCAAGTGAGCATACTTGATGGGCGGCTCGCTCACTGCACTGAGCAACACTGCAGATAACAGGCGCACGGCACACTACAGAGAGTAATAGCTAAGTGGTTCAGGGGTCCAGCGGGCCCAGCGAACGAGCGTGACGCCAACTGCCAGTGAC